ATCCGCAATGTGCCAGAGCATATCATTCGATCCTGGAGTTTGTCCGTTTTCTCCGAATGCCTGGTAATGGATTGGACAAGGTCCGCTGGTGTGCCAACGCTGTGCCTTCCGACCACAGCTTTGTGAAACGGATCCAACAAGCTTTTCAGTTCTTTGGGTTCCAGTTGTCGGATTCTTTGCAAGTAATTTTTGCAGGGAAACCTTTGATGCCAGTGTGGGATCTTTCTCCGAAGGACATCAAACCGGTCCTTCAGAGGCTTGCCCGACACAAATGTTATGTAGATGCATCCAATCAGCACAGGAAAGACTTCAAGGCGCCGGCTGGAATTCTCGATTTTGACCTTACTTGTGGTCTTCGTAAGTCTTCTCAGCTCCAGATGAGCCCGGATACTCCGGTTGAAAGCCACTTCCAATCGCAGTTAGTTGGCTGTACCCTAACTAGAGACCGTCTGTTTGCTGCGTCCCTGGACTCATCGGATCGGTGCAGATTTTGTGAGGGAGTCAAGGAATCTCTTCACCACCTGGTCCATGAATGCCCGGTGTTCTTGGAACGGTTCCCACCACATCCGGTCCATGAGTATGGTCCTAACTTTGGCCTGCTTGGAATTGTGGAACATCCTGTAGGTATCATCAAGCACAGGCTGGGATGGTCCAACCCTGATCACATTGAAGCTCAGACCTTTCATCCAGAGGCGCCCCACACAGAGTGGTGGTCTGATGGTTCAATTTTTTGGTCCGATACATTCTGGCTCACAGCTGGTGGTTTTTCCTTGGTCGACCAACATTACCAAGAAGTTTCAGGTGGCCCTGTGCGCAACTTGAGTTTGTCCTCATACTCCACCGAACTCTGGGCATTGGTGGTGGCCTCCTGCATCTGTACAGGCCCCACGACTGTCTATACTGACTGTCAGACAATAGTGAACCAACTCCGGGAGCTGCAGGCCGATAAAGTCCCCGATCCAGCTTGGTCTCATCTTGCTTGGTGGCATGCCATCCATGATAGATTGCAAGCTTTGCGAAATCTGCACCCAACCCCTCTGCAAGCTGTTTGGGTCCCCTCACACTTGTTTGAGTATCTACCTGAAGAGCATATCACCCACTCCATGGCTCACGCCCATGGAACAGAGGTTCGCCACATCATGGGCAATCGTTTTGCGGATAGGTTCGCCAAGGCACATGCTTTGGAGGCGACTAGTATCCATCCTCATGACGAAACTTTGGTCAAGAAATCCATAGTGCAGCGCCAGGATTGGCTCACGAATCTTAATATCCAGGTGGCAATACTGCAGAAGCATGATCAAGATGCCAAAAATGAGGCGAGAATGGAAGCTGAAGCGGATTCCGAGAATGTCTTCTCCCTCTTTCCCCACTGGGAATGGGACCCCAACCCTGGTGATTTTGCTTGGAGAGCGGAAGAGTCTTTGCTTTCACTTCCATTACATGAGAAGTGGGCTGAACGTGCTCCGAGCTGGCGAGTGTTGGGAGAATTTTTCGATCAACTTCAGTGGAAAGTTCATCATGATGCAGTTACTTCCTATGTTGAGCTTGCGGTGTTATTCTTTTTGAAGGGTTTTCGTTTGCCTGAACATGATCCTGATCAACATACTTTTCGTGACTTGACAGGTGAAATACGGCAGTTTGTTGCACACGCGAGATCCCTCTCGGATAAAGTCCTTCCCGGTGTTCACAACAGGCACCGCAACAAGAGCATCGGTAAGTCGCTACCAAATGGCACCATCGATGGTGCAGAGGTTCTCTTCTGCAGGGAAGCGAAGATCCGCTTTGCTAAGATTTTGTCTGGTGTGTCGACTGCGAAGCTAGCTGCTTGGGAGTTCACGTTTGGCAGTGCGGAGTCATAATTAGTTTTTCTCATGTGGACCTCTCACATGTGTTTGGGTGCGTGGCAGAATGCCATGTAAACCAGTCGTGACCGCATCGACGCGTCGGGAAGAACAGAATAGATTACCAAACATGGTCACCTACCGGGGTGAGAAATGGCTCCGACTCAGAACTCCTCGAGCTCCGATCCTGGGTCACCTCAAGAAACCCCTCTGGTGGAGGCTACACTCAGTCGCGTTGAGGATCAAGGTCCTCGTCAGACCACTTCGTGGCTGAGTGTAACAGGGACACGTGCTGGAATTCCATTCTTTGCTGTATATAGGTAACGTCTCTTTAAGAAATCTTCAATATTCTCCATGATTCTTTCCTACTTGTACTTCTGTTTCAGAAGCGTTGATGTTGGCACCCACTCCTTGGGGCCCAAACCAATTCCAGAGCGTTAGCTGCGGCTCTTCAGAAAGCTTGCGAAGGGAGCGCGGCAAGGGGGCGCTGTGTCTCATGCCAGGGAGAGCACGGTCAAAAGAGGTGCAGAGGTGCATTCTTCCATCAATGTCTCATGTTTTCCACATATCAATAAGCTGTGTGCCCTTCAGTGTGGTGAAAGAATTCGGTGGAACCGTTCGAAGCGAGCGAAAGAAGCTTCTGCAAAAGAAGGTCTTTTGATTCGCCCAAACCTCGCGAAACAAATGCCACACTTCTCGGGGCTTCTCGGATTCTCCCTCAGAGGCAACCGGAAGTCAACGTGTCAAAAGCCTAGAAAAGGCCCCATGCTCTGAGCGTCAGTCTGGAGCTCCCGCAAGGTGTCTCATATCCTTTCACTATAGTTGGAGGCCATCGCTATAGGAGCTTGGAGGCCATCGCTCTGCTGAAGAGTGTCGCTTTGGAAAGAACACCTTCGTTCCGAATCCCTCGCAGCTGTCCGAAGCCCATTCTGTACATTCCGAGGCCAAACCTGCGAAGACTGCACTCTGAGGCCCAGGTGGGTTGGCCCCGGACACCGTGCACATCCTCTCCGGGACCGCTTTCGCGAGCTCCGCGCTCAGGAGAAGGTGATGAGATAAGCCTTCAGCTTGAAACCGAAGGGTGACCTATGCCCCAGAGGTGAACAAACCTTCCCATTCGCTCCTGGCGGGTCTTGGTAATTGACGTCCTTCTTTTGAAAGAAAGACCGGGCGGAAATCGTCGCCCCGGCAACCAAGCCGGTCGCGGTGGCACGGCACGACGTCCATGTTTTGGAGAGGCACGGAAGGGCGGGACATGCGGTGGAGGCGGGGGGACAACAAGAACCACTCTGTGCTTCTTTGGAGTCCTGGGAGCCTTTTGCCCAGGTTTTCCATCCAACATGGTGCGGTGCGTGGTGTAAAACCATCCCTGAACTCACGAAAAGGAGTGGGCCCAAACACTCGCCACAGAATCGGATCCGGTCGGTTTCTCGTGCATGATCAGACATTCAAGTGCCACTATAGCAGGTCACCAGCCAGTGGTTTCCAAAGACTTAAACCGCTTTTAGCGAACGAAACTCTGGTTCCTTATATACTGGCCATCTTATACTTGGAACTCTGGTTCATTATTATCCTTTACTGGTAACATCATATAACTTCTGGTAAACTGGGCTCCGACCTGGGGACCGGAGCTCCAAGCTCCAGTTGTGAAAGCTCCATCACCACCGGACGATCGAAATGGGCGGCATCACAGGATCACCTGCAAGTCCCCGCCCGGTCAGCGGAAGGTGTATGAGTTTGTTTTTTCATGGAGCCCAAGGCCAGGTAAACCTGCTGTTTTTTTGCCTTTTTCCCGAAGCAGTTGGGCCTGTTGGGGTTCTAAGGAAACAAGAAGCTGGCACACCAGTAACTTGTGCCAAGAGGACCGGATAGGCAGCTCCAGATTGTTGGATCACCTGCCTCGGCTTCCAGGTCTGCAAAGCGGATCCCTCCGACCCGAAACGGCCCGAAACCCCTAGGCCCTAGATCTTTTCGTGTGTGCTAAGAGCATCGCACCGTTCCTGACCTCAGCAGTTGCACTTTGGAATGAGGACATGTCTTTATATTCTCATTGCGTGGCGTGGCCACGCGAGGTTCCAGCGGCTCTTCCACCACAGTCGCAGTTGGGATGGGGCTTGCAATCCGCCATCTTCGGAAGGGAGGATGGATGCTACCTACTTGCAAAAACTCCTCATAGCTAGGGAAACATGAGTGTAGACCAGCAACCTCAAAACAAACATGACCCAGGTGGGTGGCGTGGAGTTCTCAGGGACTCCCCCTAACATCCAGGTGTTAACGTCAACGACACGGCAAAGTGCCCCCGACACGGTCCAAGGCGCACTTCTGGACTGGAAAGTGAGTCCACGGTGGCATTGTAGCGGTGTGGCTTTTGCCGGAAAGGCAAGACCCCCTGGGGCAGGAAGCCATTGCTATTGGGTTGGAGGCCATCGCTCTTAGGTTGGCCATTGCTACTAAGGTGGAGGCCATTGCTCTTAGGTTGGAGGCCATTGCTCTTGGGAGACCATCGCTCTTAGGTTGGAGGCCGTCGCTCTTAGGTTGAAATGCATCGCTCTTAGACGGGCCATCGCTCTTAGGCTGGAGGCCATCGCTAGTAGGTTGGAGGCCATTGCTACTAGAACTATATGGGGCTGGGCGAACTGGAGGTGGGGGATTTGGAGAGAGATCAGCTGGCAGAATCTTCAGGTACTCGGAGTGGTGAGGATTGAGGGACTTTTGTCCTTAAGAGTTAAGATGGCTCAATGGGTTCCAACTGTCTGTGGATCTAGATACCCTGCTCCTGGAACTTGATCTGCATTTTCTGACCACTACAAGTCAATGAGTCCAATCAACTGGTGGACTCACTAAAGGAATCCTTTTGCAGAACTTTGACATTTGACCAACAGGGGGATTTCAACCTCAAGAAATTACGTGACACACAATCTGTTCCCAAGCAAACACCAACTCACGAACAACAATCCGACAGCGGAAAATCAACCTCTTCTTCAGTTGCCATGTTGTGTCAGGAAATCAATTTGTGTTATTTGTGTATATATATATATACGTAACGTATATCTATATCTATATCTATATATATATACACTGTAAATATATTCATAATTTTGCATATTATTACCCTCCCACAAAAAATCCTAGCAAACCAGCATGCATGAGACATCCTCTTCATTCAAGACCGCCACACTCATCAGCCTTCTGTTGCGGATCTCCCAAGCAAGGAATGCCCATCGTCACCAAGCAGAGTAGCATGCACCTGCTTGGCCGAGTCATGCACCCCCACAACAGCGATGGGGCATGCGATCGCACAAGTTCTGCAGAACAGCTCAACCCTGGTGATACTCCTGAGGAATTGCAGCGCCACCCTAAAGAATAGCCGCCCCCCTGTTCACTCGATCCCTCTTTTCCTTTGACCGCTTTGGCAGTCATTCGCTGACAGGACAAATCCTCGCATGAATCCAGAGGTTTGCAAGAGCTGGTGAGAAAGAGCTAACACCAAACTGCACGAGGCCCACAGCATCCCCACCTTCAGCCTCCCGCGTGGTACGTTTGCCCCCGCCTTAGGCCATCCGACCGCCTTGGGCAAAATTGCCCATCGGCCACGTACTTGGCATCCCGTGCGAAGTAGGTGCCAGAGCCCCAGACGGGGCCTGCGTAAGCGTCGGGGGTAGGGAGGAGCTGTCGAACAGTGGAAGTCCAAATGGATGATGACTGCGATGTTTTTGGTTTAACGCAGAGGGAGGACGAAGTGTACAGCCAGAGTCAATTTTAGTGATGTGTGAATGCTAGATTGAATGAGTCTCTTTGCCTCCTATCCTTTATCTTATATTTTCTTGACGAACAATCAGTCTCCCAACATCCACCGATCTACATGCTGTTGCGATGCTGTTGCGGCTGCCGGAGATCAAGGGTTGAAAGCCCACCACCGGATCCTCAGCACACATCCACGAACGACAGGAAAGGACGTGCTGGCCACTGGGGAAGACCAATCCGAATACCAAACAGGTGCTGAACTGCACTTCCATGTTAGTGAGGTCAGAGGATACTACATCTGATGTCAATTGAGTCAGGAAGCTACAAGGAGTCCATCATGGAGTGCAGTGTCATGTGTCAAGAGGGGAACCAACCATCCAAAACGCCCGCCCTGGACCACTCGCTGACAGCACGTTTTGCGACGTGTCCGCGCTTTCCTTTGGGACAGTTCAGTGAAATCCAGCAGCCAGCGGGGACATCCCGCTGCTACAGACTATCCCCTGTAAACATTCCCGAACTCCTACCAAAGCTCACCAGACTTCCAGTTTCGACTCACAATCACCAGTCCAAATTCATGCCTGAAGGCCCTGAAAACACCATCTCCGCACATCATGTCGACTACTTGCTCTCAAGCTGGGTGACCCACCCAAAATCATTTTCCCCTTTTTAGTGATCCCCAAATAGACCATGGCACGGTTTGCAAGGCAGGACATGTACGTGGGGATCTACGAACTTCTATGACAGGGGGTCTATTTGGTGGTGGATCAATATTCTTTCATCCTGAAATGGCCATTATAAGGCTGTTTCAAACTCATATCAAGCTCCTTACGCGGGATTTTAGATCAACTCCCAACCACCAAAGGAAACATCCTCACAAACCTCCCTTCCGACCCTGGCAGGCTCTTTCATCAGCATCTTCGTTGGGTTCACAGCCGGGCCACTCGAGCCATCGCTCCACCCCGGTTTGGATGGACACCTGGACCTCTTTTTCCTCCCTTTTCAGGCCTTTGGAGCTTCAAGTTCTCACCGTTTTTTGGAGCCCGGAGGATTTCTTCTCTCCTTCTCCGAAGAGAACACCACACGGAACAAAGGCAACGCCACCCGGCGTTTTGGGATCCCGAAACCCGAACGCCGCGCCACCCCCTTTCACCGAGACGCTCGAACGATCGACATCAAGGCGTCGTGGTCCGCGCCGTGGAACGTCCAACCTCGGTGACTGACCGACCGGTGGGTCCTCACCTGTCCGGTGGGTGATCGGGAGCAACACTTGGACTGTTCGGGCGTGACAGGCGTCTGAAGGGGGTCGAAGTCACCAGCGGACCGATCGACTTCGCCCCAAGCATGTGGAGGGAGGTTCTTGGTCTTGAAGCCTTCCAGTTCAGGCCCAAAGCCGAAGGGGCTCGGACTTGGCGGGTCGGGGTCTGGGCCCGAAGCAAACCCTATGTGTTGCAAACCGGGGCCGGATTCTTAGGGTGATAGGGATTTCTTCTTCTTTCTCCGGTCGATGTGATTTTTTTGGATGCGCCAACCTCGCGGCTAGCTGCAGGAGTGCACAAGTAGAGGGGTTCATTATATGGACCCAAAATGACCCAAAGAGATAGTAAAGTCTCTTTCAAAAGGTATTGGACACCGTGCCACCATCTATTTGGACACCGTACGGCCTCGCTGCGGCGTCCGCTCGCTTCGGACAGCGACCCCGTGTTCTACCCGCGACCCCGTACCGACCTGGTGGTGAAGAATCCTGACTCTGTGAAGACTCCTCTTGGATCTGGGAGATCCATTTATGTGCATTGATCCTTCCCTGACCGGCCTTCCAGGAGCCCCACGCTTCAAAGACACATCAAGAATATGATCCCCCCCCATGTCAGGAGATTCACCCAGGAAAGTCACAAAACCATGGACCCGATCCACAGAACTTCTTTCGGCGAACATCGACCGACCCTTGGCGCTCCCAACAACGGACCGTTTCACCCGCCTCAACCGGGTGAAATGGTCCGTTTGTTTGTGGCCCAGCTGCAGCTGTGGATGCTGGGGTCAAAATCCACACCCTGCCTCGGTGCACATGTCTTCCACAAAACTAGTCACCAGTGGCACATTTTGGCCGCTGGAAGAGGAGTTCCGGACTTGAGTGGCACGGGTGGTACTGGATTCGGGTACTGGTACGTCCGTTGTGACGGTACATCTGTTGTGGAGATACCGTAACGTCCATCACAAATGAGAAAAAACAAAGCGTCCAACCAGCAGCGTCCAATCAGATCTTCAGGGCTTGGGGGTTCGCACTTTTCACACACTTTCGTGATCTCCGAATTGGCATTTTGCCACATGTTGGTCGCTCTGGTTGTCTAGTGATCCCTCTTTCCAAAGCCGCAACTGGTCTTCTTTAGGTATTGATCGACTGGCTTCATAAAGGGATCGACCCTTCAAACAGCAACTACCAGGAACAAAACACTCACATCCCCCCAATCCAAGATGGTGGTGAGCCAGGCTATATATACACACAATCATGGTATTTATATGTTGTTACTTTTTTCGCTGGTTGGTAATTCTCAGGGATGACTGAAAGACATACTCTTCCCAGTTGAACATCAAAAGACAAGGGTCGTTCTGGTTTCATTTCCTTGGATTTCCGGTAATGGTGTGAGACTCCGTGATATTCTTGTGACAAAAACACTCCCAAATGGTCAAAGAGCAGGATCCAAGGCGCAATGCCAAGCATCTTGGCCAACAAACCACACCACCGCTGCCAACATCAACATTTCACTTGCTGGAATATACAATTTCGAACCTTGAAGTAGAGCCGCGAGCCCATGTTTTGATCTTCACTTCACGTTTTTTCCAGGCAAAGGGGGTACGTCAGCTGAGGGGCTTTCGAAACTGGTCAGTAAAGACATATCCCTTCTTCCGGAATTTGCTTCTTGATGGGCAGCCCTTCGACTTACGCCAACCCATGCAGGTGACAAATTAAACCACCTGGACTTCACCCGACTTCCTTCCGACTTCCTCCACTCTTGGAGGAAGGAGTCGGGAGCATGAAGAAGTCGGGGGGACGGCCCAAGTCCGGTCCACCATGTACCCTTAAGCAGACGAAATAACGAACCTACAGACTTGAAACAGACGAAATAAGGAACCATGTCTGAACAAAGACGAAATAGACAGACGAAATAAGGAACCTACAGCTGGCCATGGCGGCCTCCAAGCTCGATTCCGACTGCGGGAAAAGTGGCTGTTTCAGGGATGCTCTCACACCATCTCGATAAGGTATCGCGCTGCCTTCCTGCCGAAACAGGGCGTCTTTCGCGGCTCCCACCCCGACCCAGCGACAGGGCGAGAACACCGAAGACCACGGTAGCATCACATCGCACGATGAAGGACTCGTCGGTTCGTGGACCAAACGGGAGACGGACGGTCGGTTCCATGGTTCGGTGCACAGAACCGGAATTCAGCCGAACATTTACTGTAATTGACCCTGGCACGGTCTGCAGAGTAGTGATAGTGGGTGCCTTGAGAAGCGAATTCAGCCCAGTCTGCAGTGAACCAGCGCCGAGATTGATACACAACAACTTGGATGCCGTGTGAAAATTGGTGGGGATGTGAGCCGTGAAACCGCTGCGGCATGGAGTGACTGACTCCTTTTGGAGTGACGGCCGTCGACATCGGCTCTGACTCGCGGCCGTCGGCGTCGGCGTCGGCGGCGGTCCATCTGGCCCCCATTCTCCACTCGCTCGATCTTGTAGATGGGCAAGCGCTCCCAAGAGGCCTGGGAGGACAACCTGAGAGGCGCAGGGTTTGGCGCAGAAACACGCGGTTGGGCGCGGAGCTGCGGATTTCTGGGCCGTCAGAGACGGCGGAGTCTGCGGTGGCTCCTAGAGATGGCGGGCTGGTGAAAGAAAGGGTGAAAGCGTATTTTTTGCATTTTTTTTTTCCAGGGTGGGTTTGTTGGAGTGGGATGGAATGAATATACTGGCAAGCAAAACCCACCGCGGGGGAGGACTTGTCATGGCGGGCCCCTTAAGCCGTTTTCAGGAATACGAACAACAACACGAAACAAGAAAGATATGAAGCTTGTGATCCTCATGAAAGGAAGACATGAAACACAGCAAATTTACAATAAAAACATATATATATATATAAATACAAGCAATTACACAAAACATACAGCACTCATGAAGATTCTTCTTGCTGTATTTGTGTGTTATTTTCTACTTTGTGTAAACACTACCAAAAAGGCAACGCATACAAAAACATACAAGATACAAAAAGTCCCTCTTTGGCTTATCACTCTTCGTCTTGTCATATGATTTTTATCCTTTTCCGTCCCCCAAAGTGTTGTCGTATTCGTATCTCCCACAATGTGCAATTTCTGAACGTCGTATTTCAAACATTCGGCATTTTCGTACCTTTTCGTACATTGACATCTTGGTCTTAAATGGAAAGCGAGTTGTTCTCGAGTCACGTTGGATATCGAGAGTACACGTGTCGAAGCGACTCTCGGTGGTTCGAGAGTGACCGTCCGTGAGAGGCCCGAAAATTCGACTCGACCAGTGTCCTCTCATGCACCCGGTCGATAGAAAATGATAGAAATGGGCCAAGACAGAGCTGTGACCTTCCCAAAACTCATCAAAACTCCAGATCTTCCAGAAACATCTGCCGCACGCAAGCGCAAGAGAAATCAGCTGAACCAACCGAGCTTACTTAGCTTACTCAACTGCTTAGCCTCTGCTTAGCCTCTTCGTACCCGTGGCTAAAAACGTCTTGGGTGGACTTGCAAAACATGCCACGTGGACGTCCCCCCCAAAAGACCCTATAGGCTTCCAACCACCATTACTTTAATAGGCTATTTAATAGGCTTTACTGAATCAATTTTAATGGATTTTACACTTACAGAATCCAGGTCGTTCCCATTTCTTTGAATGGTCGTTCGAACTGAAGTCGAACGGAAGTCGAACGGGTATCTCCGGCGCTGCCGGCTCCGAGCAGTCTGAGCCTGGGGGTCGACCTCGACCCTTCCGAGTCACACCCGCGCGACTCCCGGAGCGAACCAATCGGACCCAAGTCACATGTATGCAGGTGCTTCAGTGGGTTCCGACCGGAAGATGGTGGCCACCTTCTTGTACTCCTGCCGAAATTCCGAAACGGAAGCCGAAAAGAGAGATGGGAACCCAAGAAATGCTCCAGATGCGGGTCCCTCATTAGTTCACCACCCAAAGTCCAAATCTGGCCACTCAGCCACCATCCCATAGATTCTCATATCAAAGACTGGCCTTCTTCTTCCCCTCTGAGCTGCAGGAAGTAGGAAGAGAGCCCCTCTTTCCTTCTCTCTCTCCCAAAACGGCCAGAGCCGACCGCGCGACCGCGGCGCGACTGCGGAACCGAAACCACCGGTGAACCACCGGGACCGGGCGGGGTGGGGCAGAAACGACCGCCGCGCCTCGCTGTTGCTGGGCACGCTGTGCAGCTTCTCATCTCGGCCCCGGCGTCCTGGGGAGGTCCAGAACCGCCGGAGCCGCTCCAGCGAGTAGCCTGCGCCCACGAGCCGCGCGAGCCGGCGCGGAGCCGTGGATGAGAAAGCTCGGTCAAACGACGCCCAACACGTGAAAAAACAGGAGATCCAAGGACTTGCACACTCTTGCTAAGTACAGGACTTGCTGATCTTTTCAGGTGTTGGGTTCCCGCTCGAAGGTTGGTAGAGTCGGAACGATCCAGCACTGAAGCACCCTTTTTTCCGGTCTTCTGGTTCGCTTCTTCGACCGGTGCTTGGGGACCCATCACTCACATGGGGTCCATCTGGGCAACTGTGAGGTCATGTGGGGTCCATCACTCTGAAAACTCAATCCATCTCAAATCTCCGATTGGGCAGAACATGCCCAAAATTGCGCTCCAACCTTTGAGAATCTTTGAGAGGCGAACCCATTCTTGGGATCTGAGGTTGCAATTGGGGTCTGGGATGAATATCCCCGAGCCCAAAATCTGCAAGCTCGACGCCATGGAGCCTTCAACACAAAAGAACCACAGCGGATCTAGCCCATCACTGGCCACATGAGTGAGACTATAAGGCCTATGAATTGTGTTGGGAACAATTCATAACGCTTATGATCAGAATATCTTCTGTATAGCGACAACATAGTCTTATGCAAACACAATCATTGTATCAAAACAGGTAGACCTCCCAGGCGTGGCACTGAGTGCCAGAGTGCCACGCCTCTCTTTTCTGGAAGGCTTCGGGACCAACGGGTCTCGTCTACCCAGCCAGGGGCGAGCTTTTGGGGGTCTCCCGGATTGAACATCACCCACCGCCGAACCGAGCAAAAGGACATGCCCCCGAACCGCCGCTTTTTCGTTGTCACCGAGTTGGGTGACTTCAGTAAACATGATCTTCGAATGTTGTGGGATGGATGTGCATCCCAAACAACATCTCTTTACAACCACAGCTTTTCAGGTGAGACACCCTAAGGGTACTCCCTAAGGTTTGTCATCTCAGAAAGGCTCCAAAACTACAGGTGAATACTTCATCTCACACCAGGCAGGGATCAAACACAAATTCCAGGGAGTTTCAACACACTTGTCACTCAATCTTTGAGGCGATGAGCTGCCACTTCCGGCTGATCAAATCCACCAAGTGGTTCACCTCCTTCCAACCCCAGCTTCTTTGAGCTTCTTTGCTTCAAAGAAGCCATCAGGAGGCTCTCTTCCAGATGCAAAACACCGTCTCATTCCTTCTCAACTCTCCCAAGCCCATCCTCCCTTCTATATCCTTCGATTGGGGCCAACCGGCCGCATTTTTCGATGCGACCACATCCTTCCGAGTGGCCGAGCCAATGTTGCGCTTCCCTTCGATCCTCTCCCAGTTGAGACTGCCAGGTTTGGAGCCTCAATCGACCAGACCCCAAAACACCACGCGGAGTGTTTGCTTTGTTTTTTGTTTTTTTTTCTATAGGCATTCCTTCTATCATGGCCTAAGGGGCCTCTCTCTTCGGGATCCACTTTCAAGAACAAACACCAACATCGGACCGAGATCACTGCCTCAACCCCAGAGTCGCAGGCGCCGTTCCGGTTTCGCTCGCGGAACGGCATAGCAATTGGTTGATGGAAATAGAATGATCACCCAATTCCGACTCCCAAGGCGTTTTTTCCAGGGCAAAGTAAGAACGGTTTTCTTTTTTTCTTTTTTTTCCGAACTGTCTGCCTCTTCTTGACGTGGGGTGTTTGATCAATCCGTGAGAAAAAAGGTTTTAGCAGGCTCGATCATCGCAGCATGTCCCTGCAAAGCACTTCATGAACATTTGAATAAACATGCAAGAACCTAATAGCGATGGCCTCCAACCTAATATGATATCAGCCTTATCGCGGGCCGTTAAGGTCTTTGCCCGATGGGAGAAAAGGCAAAAACAAACGAACGAGAGCCTGTTGAGGACCACCATGTCTTCACATGTTCTTTGGAATTCAAAAGAACCAGTGAAGCAAGTCGCTAGAGCTCGCTTCCCCACCACCGCGTGAAACACGCCATCTGACACCGGACACCTCACGATCTGAAGAGCAATCTGACCGGGTGTCGGCGTCTTCCGTCGTATTCCCAAGGAAAGGTACGGCGAGTGCAGAGAACCAAGAACCAGCTTCGAAACAGTTAGTGTTTGCAGGCTCCTTTTTGAACACCAAGAACGAGTTTGTTGGGCTCCCCAGCATGTAGAGCTCTGGGCCAATAGAGCTAACTGCAGCGTCGATCAAACGTGGTAGGCCTCAATCTGCAGGTCGCATTCCAAAAACTGAGGTGGTCAAATGCGCAGGGGCCAGGACTGTGGCAATGGTATGTGGCAGGCATACACAAGCAACATGTTCACCGATATGCAGCATTGTGCAGCCCGTTGCTTAGCAGCTGAAGAATTCGACCACAGGAAACCATCTGACAGAGCAACGAATTCGCAGGAGTGCTGAACATCGACTCGTCTACCATCGTCTATACCCATTGGGGGGACCATCTAGTGGGTACACTCCCTGGATACACTCCATGGTGACGTGGATGGCATGGCCTTTGTTTCGACTTCATCTTCGGATGGCCATGTTCCGAAGACCATGGCCAGGTGGCCAGGTGGTAAACTCCACTTCAATGATCATTTCAATTAGTCTAGGTAGACTAGACCAAGTCATACAAAGCAAGTCGTCCAGAAGTGTGCCCCAAAGGGCGACCAAACCAAACCGGAGTCGGGTTTTCGGCCACGGCGCGGCTCAAGTTGGGATCCAAGAAAACACCGGTGGGGGCTGGAAATTGCTGGGTATCTGCAGTATCCCAGCTATATCAAATGGCACACGATTATGCCATATCCGCTTGGCAAGAAGTCGTCCAATCCGGTCTGACCACGGGTTGCTCGCTCCCAAGGCCGAACATTGGTCCAGGAAAATCGGTAGAACCATGGAGAACCTGTGACAGGAGATTTTCAGAGCAAACATGACCATCACCGCAGATATCAACGAGATTGAAGGTTGTGTGTTCCACACGCCACCGCCCAAACGCACAGAATTTGGCCAATTTGGCCTGGATCCCTTTCTGGTGGCTGCTCCCCTTGCGATGGCTGCTTTCCTCGTAACGGATAGCTCAATTGAGATGGTCGAGGCCGTGCAGGAGCACTTTTCTCGGGGTCGACGGACCTGTGTCTTCGGGATTTGCCGGGACGCAAGAGTGCTTGTCAGGATGTCACCCTCACCTGGATGGGGGCTTCTTGGAAGAACTTCGGATGCAGGTCACGTCGGATCACAACACTCCACCACGTCGCCCACGTCACCCACCACGGCGGCTTCTCGTCGGTTTCTCGTCAAGTCAAGAGGCAGTCATTGGAGAGGATGGACTGCATCAAATGGCGATCGCCCAAGCGTGTCAGCGAGCCTGAGGCCAAGTAGCCGCTATTGGAGGTGTAGTAGAGCAAGCCTCAGGGGATGGTGGAAACTGCGTTGAGTTGCTGCCGTGGCTGCGCACGAAGTGCTGTTCGAAACGCACAGAATTCATGTGCATATATCCATGTCCATGTACCAGCACCTTCATGTCGGGGTCACCTGGCTGGAAGCCCCAGCCCACCACGTACAGGGACCTCCAGCCAGGACACCCCTTAAAGGTCCATGTTATGTCCATGTATGTTGTGTTATTTGAGCCACTGAATTCCAAGTCATCCAACACTCACTTCCGAACATGCACAGCTATGATCGCGACATGCTGCTACGTCTCTCTACGTATCGACGAAGCTGCGACTTGCTTCTGCATGGGTGTTTCGCCGATCGAACGCAGGTTCAATACCACACTCACTCTCCAGACTGACCGGATCCATCCCCGAGTTTAAAGCCTCTCGTTGGACCGGAGAGGAAGAAGAAGAGCGAGCTCGGAACTTTGCCTCCCATGAACTCTACCATGCTACCATGGCTGAGGTGGCAAAAATGTGATCTCCACCCCTGAGAACTGGTGCCTGCACTCCATACCAGTTCTTGACACGATACAGCCTCAACCAGTCTTCGCGAGAAGCTGGAAAAACGGACTCTAAACGGCTCTCCAGGTCGTGGAAAATGGATGTTCTCAACCCATCTAACTGGGCGTCACTTGGCCTGACTTCTGGGGTATCCAAACCATATTCCTTCAGGTGAACATGTGACCTGATGATGGTGGATGGAGGTTAATCCCCTAGCTTCAACACCTGCTTGGAATCCGGAAGTTTCATCCAACACATTCCAAGACCACGAACACCTCCGAGAAAAACGCACCCACACCTAGCGGTCCCACCACCATCCTGTCTCCACCGGTCCACACGTAACGGTCCCATCACCGTTCTCCACGTCCATCGATCCTGCCGTCACCCCCCCTTGTCGTCTTTCCGGATTTCAGCGGCATCGGTTGGGCGAAGCGGTGCAGACCAAGTCTTCCAGGTCTTCACGGCGCCACAAATACACCTGGCGTTTCCGGCGGTCGCTTCCGGTGGTCGCCAGCGGTGGTCGGTCTGTGAACCGGTGAACCGGTCGGCCCCCGAAAAGCGCTTTCGGACGGTTCTTCGGAGAGATGGCGAGGGTCGGTGTTTTTCTTTTTTGGGGCGATCTCTTTGTAAAGGGTCATTGTTGTGATTCAATATGCTCACCTGAGACTCTTGCCAAAGTCCAAACTCTTGCCAAAGTATGCCAAAGTCATAAGTCTGAATCAACAGGGAGTTTCCAAGGAGTGCTTACTGGAGGTTAGAGGTCGTTGGGGTGCCCAGTACCTCCACTCACTAACCCCCACATAGACCTCCTTCAAACCCCCCTCTCTCTGATTCTGCACCTGGCCCGCGCGGTCTCCTCCCCGCACCGGGTCCGCTCGCCGCACCGAGTCGCCTCGTCGTTCGAGCCGTGGGCCAGAACGATGGGCGCAGCGCTGGGGAGCCGCATCGGGAGGCTGGGATGAGCATTCAGCATCACGCTGGGCCCCTGGCGAAGAGACACCGTGAATGTCCCAAGACACCCCGTACCGGGTCCCTGGGACAGGTGTGGGGGAAGACCATCCTTGACGACCATCCCGGAGGAGTCCTACAACTCGTCATGGAGAGGTCCGGGAGCAGCATCGAGATGCGGCGACGTGGCGACGTTGGATCAATGACAGGTGCGAGGCGAAGGACACCGCCCAGGGGACTCAAGTGAGTCACCGAACTAAATGAATACAATCTGTTTCCCCCCGAGAAATGCTCCACGGGTGGTTTTCCAGTTGATTTCTGTGAGTCGAAGGTCTATGTTATGTTATGTTTTTCTCAGATCACCATCATACTGACGACTCGCGGAGGGGAAAGGAGGTCATCTGTTCAGTTTTGTCTAATTCAAACAGGCCTTGGTGATGGCCTCGTCCAAGCTGTCGTTTCTGATTTTTCTGTGAGCACGACACGTGTCGAATGACAGCTCATGGCCTTGGTCGACGTAGGGGTATCTGTATGCATCGACGTAGGTTGCTATGATTTACTGCATGGCCACGACCAAGCACTGGGGGAGGCAAGGCATAGTTTGCAAGTTTCCCATGGAGAAAGGTGCCGAGTGGTGCTCTCCGGCTCTTGAGCTGCTTGGTATCTGGGTCCATTTGGCTAAGAATGGCGCATTCCCGAACTCGGGGCTCAATCACCAAAGCAGAAAGCGGCACTGAATGTCCCAGTTTCGATGGACGAACAGGCGGACCAACCGCAAACCGCGACAACACTTTCTGCGACGAACCTTTGGACATATTTTCTTGATGCCGCTTCTAGGTTGGAGGCCATCGCTAGTAGGTTGGGATGCTTACTACTTGAAAGCATGCCACCATTTGGCACCGATAATCGACCTGTCTTGAAAGAGCAGCCCTTTTTCTCAGCCAGGCCGCAATAGTCACTATGGGCCGCACCTACATTTTAAATGGAAGCACAGCATGAAGGAATCACTTCTCGCACTTCTTGTACTAATCAGGCCTGGTGTGTTTTTGTACTGTAATTCTCATTTTGCAGGTCAGGTGCATGGGAGATTGGAGCGAAAGATGGGTCCTTTGTGGACTTCGTCCATGAAGCCGCCCCCAAGGCGGCCACTCACCTCTACACCTCTCGAGTGGGATGCGTCGTCTCTTTCGGAACTTCTTGAGTGGGATGTGTAGCTCAAAGCTCTGGAGACCAGTGGCGCCCCCCTGGTTTCAGTGAAAAGATACCCATTTCCATCCATTTCCATCCATTTCCATATCCAATCGACCATCATCTACCCCAAACTGGGGCCATTTTCATGCAATCTTCACCTCCAGACTGGACGCAAACAGGGGCTCCGAACCCACGCCCCGAACGAGGCGTGCCCGGTGGGTGCCCGGCCTTCCAATAGCCGAGCTGCCACAAGCCGACCTGAATTCCAGTGCGACGTGCGACGAAAACGACGAAAACGAAGGGCACAGCGAAACTGACGGCTACATGTGCTAACTCAGAAACTCTTGGGCTTCTTTGATGGTTTGATCCCTGGTTCAAAAGATGGATGGCTTCTGCCTCTGAGCATCCGTAAAAAACAGAAGGCTTCAACGTATACTTGACATGGAAACAGCTCTGGAAACAGCTCGTCGTCTTCCCAATTGGTTTTCCTTCCGGAGTTCTTCACCTCGCTAGATGAACTCCAATAGCTTCCGCTGCTCCCGTCGAACGGAAGACGTGTGTTCGCCCGGTCGGTTCGGTCGCGAATGGCGAGTGGCTAAATAGGCACCTCCTTGGGAGGCACAAAGAAGTGCAGTTGGCTTCAATCCTCATCCAAACACGTCAAATGAGGCTGCAAGCAGGCGTCACCTGGATCTTTTGGAAAGAAAAACATGAAGCCAGGACTTCCAATGTCTCATTTTACCGCACCTGGTAGTCATAATCCACCACTGCCTAGGGGAATATAGGGGAAAGATGAGTCATGACTGGCCTCTGAAGGGGAAACAATCAACTGGCCTCTGAAGGAGAAACAATCAATCATCAAAGAACATTCAAGGATTGGCATCGTGAGTGAAGCGAGGGACTCGTCTTCTTTTCCAGAACTCGTCGTGACCGAAGTAGAGAGATCGCTTCAAACATCTTCAAACATGGGCATCCGCATCTCACAGAGCTTTGGGAACCATCATGCGGACAGTCTTGAGTAGCGCAAGACACAGCAGCTGCACTGGGTAAGTAATTCCAAGACACAACCAAACACCAAAACAGCAACAACCCACACAAGAGGAGCAGGCTCATATCCTTCCGAGATGTGAAACAAAAAGGTGAGACACTGGGTAAGTAATTTGGGAACCATCAAAATCTCAACTATTCAGAATCTTCCAATGCTTCACTCATCTTCACTCACTCAGCCGGTACTCCCAGCACGACGGTCCGGGGTAGGAGTCTCTGAAGAGGCTACTGAAGGTTCGACTGATTGATGTCGTGGACACTGAGCAAGTGAACAAGTATCCTACTTTCGCTGCTCTTGGCCAAAAAACCAGTTTTCCAACCACTCAGTCACTCTTCCAACCTCAACAAAAACATCTCCCCCAAACCCCTCCAAGCTGTCCAAAGCATGCACCCGAAAACCGTTCTCACCCCAACCCGTCCACCTGTTGCATCCGTCCACCCGAAAAGCGCGAACCCGTCCGCGTCCTCCACCGTCTTCGTCCTCCAAGGCTCTTTGGATCTCATCGCGGATCTTCGCCAAGAAGGGCGCCACGGTCTGGTACGTCAAGCGCGCTCCCTCCTTGGCCAGGGAGCAGGAGAGTTTGCTGAGAAGATCACTTGAAGGAGATCACTGCGAACCTTTGCAGTGAGGAAAAGGATTTGGAGACTTGAACAAGAACCAACTGGACAGTCGACTCAAATGAGTTCCCTTTTTTCAATCCACACCAAACGTGGTTTTCAGCCCACCTGAACAACTCTCGCCTTTAGGGGCCTCGAACTGTTGCCTATACAGTTGCCCGTACGAACAGTTGGGACGATGAATGACTTCGCGGTTTTTCGGCGGAATTCTTTGAGGTCACTTCGAACGCGCCCATGCAACCGTGTTCCTTGAAAAACAGCAAATGCTGACGCCCAGCAGACGCCGACATGGACAGTCGGGTCGTTTGGCGGGTCTTTTGGGGCGACGGCGATTCCCGTGGGATTTTCCCCAGGCAGTTCGTTGCCTTCGTTCCATTCGCAAAGGCAGTCGACCAGGAAGTGCCGGTCATCGAACAAAGACTTTCCGCTTTACTGCTTTTGTTGATGTCACTTCGAACTGTAACAGAGCTGACCTAAAAAGGGAACCACAGATCGATCTGATCTCATGATCATCTGATTATTCATCTTTTTGTTTGTGAAGAAGACTCCTATGGTAAGAAGACTCATGTCTCGGGCTTTCTTCGCACCGAGTCTTCCAGGACCGACGCTCGGGTCGTGGAGGTCGTGGCGATGGCTCCACAGCGAGGCGTTGGGCGGTCTGTGGACAGCGAGTTTCACCACTCTCTTTTCACCTCTGAAGTCTCCGAAGAGATGGATGACACCCAAGAACCATCACCATCACCAAGACGATGATCCTCTAGTGGTCCATGAAAACGGCCGGAATCTGAACACATTTGATCTTTGGAACGACGATTGATGCTTTTAACCACCCGAACGCGTGGTTTTCTTCGTTCATCTCCTCCGGGTGAATCACATTGCTTGGTGGATTCACAGTTCGGGTCGGATGTTCATGGAGTCCAACCCCCAAAAACCACGCCCCAACCGGTGCTGGAGTCCAACACCTCCCCCAACCGGTCAGCCCACCTGACCTGAAGTTGGGGCAACCCGTCCTGAAACCACCGGTGCCTGGGCAATCTGGGCTCGCCTATCTGACCGGGCGGCATCGGGATACTCCGGCAAGTCGGTGAACCACAAGAGCTGATAACCCGCCTTCGGTGTGAGGCAGGAGCGCATCGGTGTGAGAGAGAGAGAGAGAGAGTGTCCTTTCAATTTATGTAAATGTTTTTGAAATCTAAGTTTATTTCCAGGTGTGCTGTCTGTTTTTACATGTCTCTTTTTCGAGAGTTTCAATCTGTTTTGACCCGGACCGGGTGCAGACTACCCTCACTGCTGTTTTCCATCTCTGTGAGGCATGATGAGTATGAGTCATCCAAACGGACCGGACCGGGCTAACCACCAACCTTTTTGGGTGAGTTTTACACACTCTGAAGGACTTGGGCTGTGTGTTCTTCCCTACTCGGAGTTCTCTTTATGAATATAACTGTTACGCCACCAACATTGGAACTCAAGGAGCTGCCAAACAAATCATAAGTTCGATGCTGGCATCAATCGGTCGTGTGCTGCCCGTTTTCCATCGGACCTGCCGTCTGACGATCAGAGCGACGGCAGTCTGGCCCTGTTCACACAAGAAATCCCAAGAAACTTTCAGCCTTGGAGCAAACATGAGCAAGAGGGCACATATGGATAAATATGGTGACATGGAATGATATGGTCTCGACTAAAAAAGACCAACATCACAGGAGCCTCCTTCAAACATCTGGCAATCTGCCGATCACCAGGCAACTCCAGCATTTCCCTCTTGCAAGATCCGAGGTTCTTTCCTTGGATCCTTTTCAAAATTAAAATCATATAAAATCCATCTCCATCACCAGCCATCTGGCGCAAGTCGGTGAAATATCCCCTGTCCCAGCCGCCGCACCTGTGCCAGCATCGAGGCTTGTTGCGGGTTCTGTCCGAAGCCCGGCGCCAAAATCATCAACTTCATGGTGGAGCGATCCGCCTCGCGCGCGGCTCGGAGGTCAGGCGGCGTTCCGCGAAGCACCGGGCTCTGCGACGTGAGAAGTAGGGCGTCCGCTGAGAACCGGCTTTTGGAGGCAGAATTGGGCTCACGGCGGTCTGAAACATTGGTCAGCTTGGTCAACCAGAGAGGACCACCCAAGTGATACCTTGAATCCTTTGGTCAGCGTGTAGCTTTGTGCTTTCTTCCTCACCTAGAAAACGAAGGCGAGGGGAAGGGATGTGGTCGTTGCTTCAACGCCGTTGAGGGGAAGTTTCGTTCAAATCCGCTTCAGCCTTTGGATGTTTATCTTCTTGATTCTTGCCTTTCAGGAACTGTGCAAATAGAACATCTTCCCCAGAAGCTGATTCAACCCTAGGGGGGAAATACATTGTATCTCTTAAGCAAAACCAGCTCTTCCTTTTGGGAGAACTAGCATGCCCAGATTGCCTCCTGGCACCTCTACACTCGACGGACCCGGATGTGTTGAACCCTCAAAACCCCTTGCCATTTGAGGCTTCCGATGCCTTAGGTGGTTTGACTCTTCTTTCTCCAAACAGGTGGCTCTGTTGGCTCTGTGTGTCACTTGACCTCCTCCATGCCCCTCACCTCAATGCCTCACCTCACTTCACTGCCAGGGCACATGCTCGCTCGTGCTCGTTGGACTGCAAGAGCTTAAGGGACTTGCACTGCTCACGGAGGGGGTCCGGTCCTTAGAGAACGGTCGAGAGCAGAGGGAACTGACAGACCTGAGATCTACGAGCGCAAAGCATGGTCGAAACTGGACACCTTCGCATGCGACGAACACCCTTTAGGGGGGGGAAACCGTGGTGTCCGAAGAGACCCCGATGGATTGTTCGATCCGGATGCTCACCCGGACCGACCGGTCCAGGACTAGCTCTCCTGTGCGACCTGACCGAGACTAGGCACAGAGGACGAATGATGGCGATGGATGGTAAACCTCTGTCCTTCTATAGCCATACCGCTCGTGAAACTCGGTACTTCATCATCTTCGTCCCCCAATCATGAAAGATCATTACGCAAACTGGAAGCAACACATTGCAATGACTTATCCAGACAAGGCATTCCAACAGGCAGAACCTGCAAAGCCCCATGATGAAGTCTTTGCACACAGGCTATGTGAAGTTCGGCTGAAACAGAAAAGACCTCGACGAAGCCAGCGGTTTCACTTCATCTTGCTGTGATCTTGCTGTGCCGGGAGGGTCTGCTTTCGCTGTCGCCTGTGAAGGCAAATGGCTCGATGATGGCACACTCGCTCACCGAGGTTCTTCCGTTGGTTCTGCCGGAGGAAGGCCGGAGGAAGGGACGTGCAACTCGGAGTAGGCGGCCAATCTGTTCCATCTCCGAAAAAACAAGGCAGTGGGCTGTATATAAACGTACACCAAAGGACCAGGGGGAGTTCTCCATCTCCATTCATTCCAAACTTCCCTTCGTCCCCAAACTTCCTTTCGTCCCCAAACTTCCTTTCGTCCAAAAGGCAAAGTTGTCCGCAAAGCGCGTGGTGAGGTAATTCCGAAAATCTTGAAAGCTGATGCCTGGGTTGACAAATCCGATCTTGAAAAAACAGCACGGACCACCCAAACACCTCAGTTACACTCCCTGAAACAAATCATGGAACACCACCAGTTTGGTATTATTCGCATTTTCAGGGAGTGTAGCTTTTGTATGACAGTGCTCGCTCACACCCCCTTCACCAATCCGATCTGATGATTTTGATCATGTAGATGCTTGATTTAACTTATATAACAAAAACCAAACATGGATTGTAAAGCCTCTTCAGGCTTGGGGGGTGAAGTCTAATCCTTGGACCTTCCACTGGGTGAGCCTCTCAGGGTGAGGGGTCTCCATGCTCGAGACTCGGAACAACTGCATCCCGCAAACGAAATGGCTTCCTTGAAAGAACTTGCAGACCTTTTGGAACTTCCAGCAATTCCAAACGAGGTGTGGTTGAAAGGAGGAGTTACTTTGTTCAGACGGCTTAGGCTTACTTCAGCGCCACACCTCTAGCATCAAACGTCCACAGCTCTCACAGCAAGGGAGACACCCCTTTTTTGAAAGTATGATCACGAGATGTCATGAGCAGCAGGCAGCTGTCGGGTTACCAGATCGAAAGCTGTCCGCGATGGAAAACCAAATTTATGGTCTTGATAGTACTTCATGTTTCAGAGCAACATGGACCCTGAAAAACCACTGGGTTTGGTAGAGAAAGAAACCAGTCATTTCAGGATGCCCATTCTTTCCTGCTTACTCTTTGGCAGTGTTCAACCCGAAACTCGGATCATTCGTTGATGGGCCCGCGTCACTGACCAAGGACCCTGCAAGACAGACCAGTGAGACATGCACAGATGGGGGAGTCTCCCCTAAAACCTTTTTCACATATGAGGATTGGGTCAAAATTTGGAGCCCTGGTCCACCATGTAGCGAGCGAACGACCTTCCAGATAGGTCGTGCCCGGTCAGACTCTTCTGGTATCATGACCCACCAAACCCGGGTTTCCTCAAAACACCCTTGGAGGTGTCAGGTTTTACCCACTCCCCACCATGTTTCTTGTTCTTCAATCACACACACTCCATGTATGGCATGGCATATTCACATACATTGCCCCCCTTCACACCACCCCAATGGTCTATACCCCAGTCCGGAGTGTCTCGCTTCATCTTCACTCACTTTGTGACGTCCGAGCGGCGTTTTCGACCTGATGCAATCTGATCGAAGAGCCCGCAGACGATGTCATAACCTGCCGAAAAAGACCCGAGAAGATCGCCCGGTGAGCAGCGAATCGACCAAACCGCAGGAGCTACAGCTACACTCCCTGAATCTCCCTGAAATTATATATATATTCAATATAGAGACGTGGAACAACGTGGGATGGGAAAAGCGGGTTCCCCTTTTCTTCGGATGAAATATCCGAATCACCCAACTGGATCCAAACTCCAACTGTGCTGTCATGCTTTCAGCGAGTGTAGCCTTTGTATGACAGCACAGGCAGAGGCCTGTAGGCCCTCCACCTTTCACAGGACCGGATCTCTGGTCGGGCTGATGTCTGATGATGGGGGTTCTACTTAGAGATCTCCCTTGTTGAAAGGAGCTGCTTCATGCTAGGGCATTTCTACTAGGAACAAGGATGCTACTAGATCTACTAGGGGCTCCTGGCCTTACTACTAGGAACAAGAAGCTACTAGTAGCAAAGGGCATCGCTACTAGGAGCAAGAAGCTACTAGGAGCTGCTTCATACTGATCATGTTGGGTCTTGTTGGGAATGAGTCACTTGCCGCTTGCATGCTTGATCCGGCTCATCGCGAACTACGCTCCGTTGGGTCCTCCCAACCTTTCCCTTCCATTCGCGAGGAAAGCCCGAAGGGGAACATCCCAAAGGTCCGCTCAAAAGAGTAAGGCTGGGGTTGGGTGGTTTGTGTTGGACGGTGAACATCTGCGACCACATTCTCCAACCCACAAACAGTTACACTCCAAGCTGCTAACATGGAAGTGAAGTTCCCCATCACCTGTTTGGTCTTCGGAGGTCTTCGGATGTCTTACTGGTCATCCGAAGAAAAGGGGGGACATGCCATCCACGTCGGACTGGATTTTCAGAGAGTGTACCTCCCAAACGCTCGACATCGCTCGACATCGCTTTCCGCTTCGTCTGCTTTCTGCGGCTTCAAGCGGCTCGTCTCGTTCTCCAGCACGTTCCGTGTGTTCACGTTGGGCAACAAATAGCTGCCCGCACGAGTGCTGTTCCTGATGCTACCAGGAACTAACATGGAAGTGGAGAATAGCCCCTTGGAAGACCATGAAATCCGAATACCAAACAGGTGCTGGTGACTAGTCCGACATGGCCAAGACATGCACTCCTTGGGATGCCAAACATGTTGCATTCACTTTGCTGTGCCCTGGACACCGAGTTCAGTTTGCATAGGTTCCAGCTGCCACCAGTTACGCCTGGTGTAGATAGAATACGAGCTAATCCTGAAAACGACCAGTTTGCAATTGATGGTTTTTTGGATATCCTGATGACTCTACACATACTATGCAAGCGACACTCCAGAAAATTCGTTGGCTCACTGCTAAACCGAGGATGGACAGGCCTACCTGTTCTGGTCCTCCAAATGGCGCTAGATCAACAAATTCATCAACGCCAACTTCATTTCACACACAAAACAAAACTTCAAGCAAAAACAGTAGATCTTTCATATCATTTCATATCTTTCTCCCAACCTTCCTTGCACGGTCTACACCTGGTATCCGTTTCAGCTACCCGGTCGACCCTCCATCCATCGTCCCGTGGCGATTTCCACCCCGCCACCCGTGCATCGCTGAAAACCATCGTCAGCGTAGCGTCTGCATCGCCGCCACCAACTCCAGCTTGGAGACAGAGCCGTCGCCATCCACGTCGATCAAACGGAAGATCTCCCGCATCTTGGCCTGAAGATCGAGCGTTTTGGAGCCCGAAGATCCAACGGACGCGATGGCTCCGTCAAAACCTGGAGCCTGGGCAACAGGAAACATTTTGCTGGGTTGACCTTCTCAGTAGTTCATGGGGGTCAACCTGGAGCCCTACCAGACTGGCTTGACCTCCTGTTCAGTAGGAAAAACCCCCGGTGTGCCATGACCCACAGCCACCACACTGGGGGCTTTGGGACTCATGGCACTGGGGGAGACCGCACCCAACAGCTGAATGAACAGACTAACCTACGATAGTGATCCCCAAATCGACAGTGGCACGGTGTACCAATACAGAATCTCAATCACTTTTAGTGGGGGACCTATGGACTTCTATCTATGACAGGGGGTCTACTATAGGTCAACCTACGCAGGGTGAGTGAGTGAAACGGCCTGATCAACGGGTGTCAGGGTCCTCACAGTCTGCACAGGCAAAAACCGATTCCGTGGCAAACGACCCCAGGACCCCGTTCCAGTGAGCCCGGTCTACTTGTTCAGGTGGCTGCCTCGCATCCGGTTTCCAACAGGATGAACGAGTTTCGTTTTGAAAAAACACGTTTCCATGCCTCAGATGTGTCGGGTGTTTTCGACGAGTCTTAAGGCCACTCATCATTGGGCTCCTGGGCAATGCCCGAGTTCTCCCTGCTCTTTCGAACATGTGATATGTATATATATATATATCATGTCCCAACAAGTCCAAAGTGATCAGTGAAGGCATGGGACCAACTGTGTGACAGAAAAAAAACAAAGTTTTGCAGTTGATCTTTGAACGGAGCGCCGCTGCAAAACCCATTCGAACCATAGACATGCTAGTTGAAGCTCACAGGACATCAAGAGATTTTAACACTTCCATCTTCGAAGGAGATGTAGTGAGAGGGGAAGCGACACACAGGATGAATCTCAGTGGATCGTATCACAAAGGATTGCGAGTCTGATCACCATCCAACGATTGTTTCCAACGATTGCTCCCAGATCTGATGCTCCAGAGATTTCCGTGCTGATCTACTTGGCACCCAAATCTAGACTGATCTACTTGGCAAACAATTATGGAAGGTTTTCTTATGTTTTCTTTTCAAGCAAGATTCTAGAATTAGCCCCGCTAGCCCCCCAAGACTCCCTGTTGAGACGCCCAGCACGTTTTTCCACACCTCTTCTTTCTCCGCAGCCAAGCAGGCAGCAGCCACCCGGCGAAAATAGGCAGAGAAGTCGGCGTACTTCACGCGTGTCCCCCCGCCCGCCATGCTATCCTGAGCCGGGGCCAAAGGACTATATGGACCCCCTGTCATAGATAGAAGTTCGTCGATCCCTGAAAACGTCTTGGACACCGTACCGTCCAGGTCATCTCTTTGAGGACCACCCAGCTGAAGGGGTTCCCCGCTTTTTTTCGCGGATCGGAGTCCATTCTTCGGTGAACTTCGATGCTTTTGAGCAATTTGAGGGCATCAACATAAGATACCACACGATACCACTATAGTTGCAATGGTGATTCTTACGAGCTCCTGAAGACCACAAGCCACCGAAAAGAGAGCCACTTCGTCGCGGATCAACCACATGCCTGGTGTATTTGAATAAGGAGAGACCGGGCGGGTTTTGCATGGTTTTGGTCTGTTTTGGTCGATGAATCCGTTCACCAGGGGGGGGCGACCGTCGACGTTCTTGTCCCGAATGCGTGGGGTCTGGGGTTCTCGTCGACCGATCCTCGTCGGGGTCGGGTAGAGTAGAGCCGAGCCTTGCGACTCGGCTCAGACAACGGCCCAGAGTCGAAGATGTCGTCGACGACATCGAAGCTGTACTCGTTGATGCTGATCTGCCCCGCAGAGTCCTCCAGGGACGGACGGCCGCTTGTTTCGGTGGCGTTGGCAGAAGCCCTGTTTGCGAGTTTGCGCATGGCGTTTGCAGATGTTCGCACAGGGGTGGAACTCTTGAACAACGACCTGAAGAGCTGTGTTTCAGGTCTGGTTTTCTTTCAAAGCTGTGGTATCGCCGTGGCACGAGCTGCCTAAGCTGCGAGCCGTGTGCCAGCAAGTGAGAACCCCGGTTATCAGCCTTCCTTTCCACACTGACACTCCAACTAACATGGTCCACTTGGATGGCCTGGCCCCGAGTTCGGAAAGACCCTGAAATCCACGAACCAAACAGGTGCCATCCACGTCACCATGTTAGGAACCCAGAGAGAGGCATATGATTTCTTTCCAGTTTGCACTTGCCTAGGTTATTGAACACGCGATGCCTAGGCATGTGATTGAACTCCTCAGCAATCATTGAGCGAGTCGCGGTGCACACATGGTGCGAGCTGCTTCCAGGCGCGCCGTGACACTCTGCAGGCTGAGCAATCCGACCAACAGTGCAATGGAACTGGGAACTGGGTCTTTCACCAAGCAGAAACCGTCCAGTTCTGGTGTGTGAGGCAGTTTTGTATGAAACCCGTGTCGTTTTGTGTGAAGGATCGAAGAACGACCCCTCCTCGAAGCGAGACCGGCCCAAATGGAGAAGCTGATTGACCGCCACGTGCGGTCGTGCGGGGCGTATGCGGGCGTATGCGGGCGTGTGTTCGTCCATTTCATCTGTACCCCCTGGGGAGTCCAGTCGAACATTTCCAAAAATGGTTGACCTGGTGTTGTAGGGTCAAGTCCCTCTAGTCAACCAATGGTTCTTCGGGAGTCAGCCCGTTGGAATCCCAACCGTACCGAAAGAAAGAACCCACAGCTCCCACCGCCCCAGCTTTCAGCATCCCAACTCCAGCTCCTGGAAGAGGTCGGTGCTAAGGCCATGCCCTTGAAGCACGAAGCTCGCCACCAAAGCGTGACCTGACAACCGACGGAGCTCCGGAGCTCCGGAGCTGTGTTTTCACTCGCAAGCGAGACGGAAGCTCCAAGCTATCAGAGTCTGGGCCATCAGAGTACCCAATGTCGGTGGTTGAGGAATGGACCCAACCAATCGGGTCTAGGACATCGGGTCTGTGCCATCGAGTCTGATGGCCCACTGGTATATAGCTCATATAGCTGGTTACATGGATGAACGCCTCCAGATTTGGTCGAAAAGGGTTGAACATGGTCCTGGAAAACCGGGAGTGTACACCATCGTGGTCGTTGCTTTTCAGAGAAAGCGCTCGCGACCGTGTCGTCGAGCAGGACCGTGCCAGCTCCGAGGTTAGCCCTGATGCACCAGACTTCATGGCCCTGATTCACTTTATAGTCTGGATAGAACAGGATAGAATCCAAATCGTCCGCTCAAGCGGAATTCCAACTACAACTCGAAAGGTTACCAAGCAATTTGGTCATTTACAACACATCTTCCAACACAATCCAAATCTAGACCTGGATGGGGGTCCTCAGCTTCAGCTACCTTTTCTTGACCGTCGCCGTCTCGGTCTTCATCCAGGGGGCGGTACACGGCGCCAATGAGCTCGAGCTTCGAGATGGAGCCACCCCCGTCCGCGTCGATGAGCTTGAAAATGGCCAGCAACGCTTCCTGCGATCGCGGGCCTTCGCTGGCGCCGCGTGCGGGCGTTGAACCAGCGGTTCCAGCGAAGGTCCGCAGGCCACCGGAAGGTCCGTAAGGAGAAAGGCTCCCTAAAACGCTCCAAACCCGGGAACCACGGACGGCCTAGCAGGTCACCCGGAGCACTGCTCAGGTCATCATCACCCTTTTCCAATTGGATGTAGTGTCCCAGAAGCGAGGAGGCCTAAGATGGGTGGTGGGCTGGGTGCTGGGCTGGCTAGGTTCGAGTCCAACGGAGCGCAACATGTTGGAGTCCAGACTCGTCTGGTTCCCACACCCAACAGATCCTTTGATCCTGGGGGTCAATATATGAACGACTAGGAGCATGTCTTGTGGAAGAAAGGAAACCATTCATGGACTATGGATGTCTCGGGTGGCAAAAGGCTTCTGACAATCAGTATACTGGATGACTACTAACTAACTACCAATGGGATTGGGCATTGGTTATCAGAAGTCCTTTCGACACTTTGCTAAATGAGCGGCAGAAGCGTTCAAAGAACACTTGAGCGAGCACTTTGCAAATATTGCACAGGGAGAACGACAGTTTTCTGCTTTCAATGGCTTTATTCCTTGGTCTCCAGCAGGTTTGGGCATCCTCACTTTAGGCACACCAAATATCTGGGTCAAATAGAGAGGCGGTCTTTGTACAGAGAGCCGGTCTTGGCAAATAACCAATGTTTTGGGCCATCTCTCGAATTACCCAAATTTGCTCCGCAGATGCTGGTTTTTCACTATATAGGAACAGTGATTAGTGGAGACGTTCCGGGAAGGCCATTTTCCCGGATCCAGTGGACGCGTTCCAAGGCACCAACCTCCCCCCCCGCACAACCAGCTCCGTCCTCTAACTTGGGCCCATGGCCTCGCCTCAGGGGACACAGTGGCTTAAGAATTTTTTGACCTCGACGTCTCCGTCTCCTGAAGTTCCACTCCAAGTACAGGGGGTTTTAAGAGTATAGATGGCACAAAATTTCCCCAAGTTTGGTGGTTCCAAGGGACCTTCTTGGACCCTACGGTACCGAACTGGGATAGTCTATAGGGTTCTTCAACCTCTGTTGGTTTGTATGGACCCCGGCGATCTAAAGGACCTCTTGAGGGGTGCCCTCGTGCCATCGAACCTTACTGCGCAACGAGGCGAGAACGTCCAGGAACTGCTCCGTAAAACGAAACAAACATCGACACATCGGACGATACCACCTTTTAGGGGTTTTACCATGGACATTGAATCTATTGAATCTATTGCATAAGATCTATTGATATCTGTATAATGATATACCATCATATGCAGATGCACAAGATCTATTGAATCCATTGACATCTGCAATGATGTTTTTTTGAGATTCGATGATCTTCGTGTACACTGGGATTACAGTATCCAATGGGTCACACCCACGACTGAAGAGAGTGATTTCAAGGTTTCAGATTTCGTCCTCACAGCTGGAGACCTTTCCCAGACACGTCTTTGCTCTTCAAAAATTCAGTTCTTGGCCTCTGTGTTGGCGAGCAGTCGATCGCTAAAGCCGCATTCTTTGTGGTGCTTCTTGAGGCATCTTGTGGGGCCAAACCTATCTTTTTTGTTTAGGAATCAAGATGAATCGGATGAATCAAGTGATCTTGAAGGGAATGGTGCGAAAGTGAACCTGGTGCGTTTCTGAGGCACCTGTCTAGGTAGGGAGAATCAAAGTCACGAACATGAACTTCATCAATTTCAACAGGTCTTTGAGAGAGTCTTGGCCATAATCCTCTGTTTGTGGCAATAAACTTGTTCCACATAATCTCTTCTCCAGTGAGGTGTCCCCCGCAAGCCCTAGTTTAAAGCCAATCAACTCTGGCCTTTGGTCTTATTCTCGCCTACCTCCTCAAATACCATCGAACACCACAAGAACACAAAAACCAATCACCCAGCACAAAAAGATGTGCGCCACAAAATATCAGCTCCCAACCCAAAACGGAACACTTCGCCACTCCCTTCTCCTGATGCCACAATTCTAGGCGCTCTTCTTCCGCGAGGAGCTCAGCTAAGGACTTGCTCCGTTGAGCTCGGCTGGGCTCGCTCCGCTCGCTCCTGACCTCGTTCTTCGGCTTGCGCTCCGCCAGCCGCTCCTGCGAGAGGAAGCCGTGAGCCGGGAGGACAACCGGTCGGACCGGTCGTGGCTGGTGGGGTTGGAGGAACCAGCAAACATCAAGGTGTACGTGTATATGCATATCTACATCTACCACTACATAATTATATATACACACATACATTCAAGATCATTCAAGTATTGGACAAGTGAATTCTTTGAGATTTCAACTTCAACTGGATACCTTCACCTATCTTCGCCTCACACTTTGAACGGTTTCTGGAAGCCGATGAAAGGATAAACACATGATCAGCTTGCCACAAGTGATTCATGTGTTTCTTGGCGCACCATTAGTCTGCCTAGACTGGGAAGTGGTTCAGTTTGAGACTTTGAGACCGTTATTTTGGGATGGGAGGCCGGGAGGCCATCGCTTGACCTGGTTGGAGGGCCATGGCATGACCTGGGTGGAGGCCATCGCTGGCCAAGACCCCCTGGACTCTTCTATCTCTCGTCTCGGTACTTGGTCCCCTTGAAGCAAGCGAATGGGAACACCGTGAACGCGATGAGGGTGAACCACAGTTGGACGACGTTGCATGAAACAACAAAAAGGCCAACTCAAACTCCCTACCAGCACCTTCATGTCGGGGTCTCCAATGGAATATCCTATACTACTTGTGGATCTCCATTGGACACCCCTTTGAAGGTCTAGGTATGAATTTGAACATATGCCCCATACATCTTCACTCCATACCCCGTACACCACTCCCTACCCGCGCAACAACATGCGAACCGGCTCCTTTTCGGCCTTCTTGGCCTTGGCATTCTGTGCCCATGCGAAGGCTGCTCGCCGGTTGGCCATGGCGCGTGAAGCCGCGACGACGCGCTGGTCTGGCTTCGGTCGGTCTCAGCCAGAAAGAACGGTGTGAGAAGGGTGGGTGTCTTTGGGGGGCAAAAAGAGACGGAGGGAACGAAGTCTCACGGCAGTCTTGATTCGTCTTTGCTGCTTGGAATCCGATATCTGGATCCAGTTCTTTCTTCTCCAATCGCCAAAACACCAAAAGAACAGATTGGAGAGATGCTCTGCTCCTGCCAGTTTGAGCCCTCTGATGATGGCATTCCTACACATCAATGCAGTCATGCGCGGTTCGGCAGTTCTTGTCATGTTCTCCTGCTTTCTATCGCTGATGAGCCAAGTGGACACCGTTTTCCTGCATGGCCTGGCCGGCCCTAGACAAGTGGCCACGACCAACGCGGGTTGCGATGCTGCAGGGATCTACAGATTTTTCGTAGGGAAGAATCCAATATGAACCCAATCTTGGCCAAACCACGGGGCAAACACCAAACCACCACTACTTCAAGAAAACTACGGTTGAACCGTTGCCTCTCTTTCTTCGAGACATGCCGGAGGTCCCCGATTTCGGCCTACGGGCCTGGATCTTCAAGAAAACACCCCTCCAAGAAAGGTCCAAAAAAACACACATATATTGGATGTACCCATGGCCCATATATATATATATATATCCATACCTGATATACCCAGTGATGTCTCACCAAGACTTAGCAGGAACCTGCCTTGGCAGCTCATGCGATGTCATGCTAGCCATCGAAACCATTACAGTGCTTCTTCACGCCCTGTCAAGCAACAGGATCTAGACCACAACCTCATCAATCGCAACTCAAAACATCAAAAAAAAACACAAAAACCAGGAGTCACAAAGGGGTGGTATTTAGTCCCTAAGTGAGTGGATAATGGGCACCCCTAGCCTTCATTAAGCACCCGGTCGATCTCGAGTCGATTCGCTTCTCCGAGGTCGCTTCGTCCTTGGTGCTCCTTTTCTCATGTAGCCCTCGTCCCATCGGACACCTGGTAGGCCATGCGGGCCATGCGGTGTCTGTCCGAGTGCAAGTGGTCTACAGTGTCTACGGTGGCTTGCAAGGGAGATCCCAGCAGTGAACCGCGGTGGAGGAGGGCCGTGCGGAATTGTTGATGTTGAAACATATGGATACATATGGCACATCTTTTGAAGGTTCAAGAAGAATGGCCTGAAAACTACACGTGGACCGGAATTGGATTGGGGATGATGATGCCATCCGCACCCAATCCACCGCACAGCTACTTGTTTTGGGTCTCCGCTGGCGCGACTCTTGGGATGGCTTAAAGAACTGAGAGAAAAGACGTGCTTTTTCACCCGAAGACGCTTCACCCATACCGCAGACACGACCGCCATCTGGGACTGCCATGTCGGACTGCCGCCCTAAGTCAACAGACCCCCCAGTCAACCACCACCCCAACGGCCGTGCCACGTCCCATGGTCCCGTCGTCTAACCGGATCGTTCAGTGCGCCCCAGGTGCGAACGGACTGCCTTGTTCCGCCTGGGTTCCAGGCCCACAACGGTCCAACGAGCCACCCGAGATATCGCAACCGAAGAGGAAGAGGAAGACGAAGATTCTGCTTCAAAAGCGATTTGGAAGAAGGCAGGGCACGACTTGGTATGTGTTCTGACACATCATCTAGCGCCCCAGACTGAGCTGGCGCTCTCGGTGTGCAGGTCCGTGTGTGCCGCTCGCTGAGCTGGCGCTCTCTATGGAATGCATTCGCGACGGGACATGTGTCTGAATTTGATTGCAGGTTTACGGGTTTACACGTTTTTACGCGGGTTGAAAGGTTTACGCGTGTTTTCTCGGGGGCACTTGCAGGGGTTTACACGTTTTTTCGCAGGTTTATCGGTTTGCGCGTGTTTACGCGGGTATACCGGATTTGCCCGCGATTTGGGATGCTATCCCAGACGGACACCAAGAATCGCTAAGGAGTTGTCTAGCGACTGCGGACTGGAGCGCCAGGAGGCGGACCTCTTCGCCTGAAGTCAATTGGATGGGTATCGTCAAGGCGTCAAGGCGTCAACCCCGTTGAGATGGGCCACATCGGTGTTTTCCGACACAACAAGGACAGGAAGAACTCGGACTCCATGCTTCGAGTCGCGCGTGTGCATGTGCACAACCACGCACACGCCAGCCAAACGCGGTGAGGAGGCCATGATACTGCCTCATCGCCTCCCCCAGGCGTGGTCTGATACCATCTGAAGATGGTCTGAGTCCGAGCTCCCACCGGGTCCTCCCAACTCCCATCCCTCCGGAGCGAGTTCCCCAAGGTGGCCAACTCAAGAACTCAACTGAACAGTTACGTTCGTTTTCGTCCCTTGTTCCGTCCGTATGGCCAGAAGCTACGAACTCCTAGCGGTCCGAAGCTCTCCCCTCCCCCCCCCGACGCCCTCCGCTCGGGACCGAGGCTCCGGGCGAGGCAGCGAGAGAGATCCACGGCAGAACACATGTGTCTCAGCTCTTGCTCATAGACCTTGGGATGTACGCGAAGGTACGCGAAGCAGGCGCGAAATAAAGCGAATGGAGCTGATGGATGAGCCAGTGGCAAGTGGGATAGAAAAAGGATGAAAGAAAGAACCATCATAGTGAGGACAACATATATAATAAATCACCTCCTGGTCCGAGTTCTGCCATGGGTCTTTGGCTCAAAACACGCACGTCGACCAATCCATGGCAGTTGGAACAGCTACTCCAACTCGGTGAAATCGCTGTTCCCACGGAGAGTCGACGGACGTGAACAGCCGAGTTCGGGCGCGTTCGTATGGCACCGCATCGGTCGGTTCCGATGAGAACTCTACGAAAGGAGGAGAGGCAGTGTTTTGGTGAAGCTCGAAGAGACCAGTTGACCATGAAAACCAGGGCTGCAGGGCTCTTTCTAAAGCATAGCAACCTGGTCGACACTGGACCCACAAGTGTATCTCGCTGACCACTTCTCCGACACTTACTTCGACCAAAAGACCCACCACCGGAACGCGGATGATGCGCTGCTGAGATGCGGAAAAACGAACTCTCTGCTGAATCTACCAAAAAGGCAAATGATCTATACCTAGACCTTCAAAGGGGTGTCCAATGGAGATCCACAAGTAGTATAGGGTATTCCATTGGAGACCCCGACATGAAGGTGCTGGTATATAGCATTATATAGCTATTTCTGCCATCTTCTCATCTTCTGCCTTCCTGTCTTTTGCCCGATTCCAAGCTGTTGTTCTTGGCCAACCGTGGCAACCGGGTCCCCGCACCGGGTCCCCGAGAGTGCCCAGGGCTTCCAGCAGGAAGCGATCTAAGATGCCTTGGGCCAACTGCTGTGGCAGTGAGCCTAACCTCGGTGCGACGCGGGGTGCTCATATGCGACAGCAACGTCGGTCCGAAATCAGCGGCCCATTTGGAAGAACCAAGACGGTTATAGTGGCTTAGGCTATATGTTGGAAACCAGATAGTGGTTATACCAATTGGAAACCAGCTTATGCTATAGCGGCCACAGAGACAGACACTCCGTGACCCAATCGGTTCAATGCTGAACACACAACCACGCAAGCCAATGATGAAGAAGATCCCAGTTGCTAATACCTGCAAACTGCAAACTTCTTGTATCACAACTGTGGCAGATTCCTGCAACACACAACTGCGACAAACAGCTGAGCATTCGAGCTCCTTCTGTTCACCCTAATTCAACGCCAAACACCGCGATTCCGCGCAAAAGGAGTGGTGCATATTTTGACCGTCCAAAAAAACGACCCCCCCTGGCCAATTGGTGATTTCTTCCTTCCAAGCAACACCCCAAAATCTGGGTATACTTTGGGTCTATCCTATTTCAAACAGTGGATGATGGTTAGTAAAGCCCTTGTTCCAAAAATCGATAAAATCGTCATAACATCGTCTACGGGTCCTGTTACCAGGTCAGTTCGGATCGAGGAACAAACAGGTCTACGTAGACATGATCCTCTTCGATCCTCTTCGATGCCTCCCGGCCCCATCTTCTCCTGCCCCGGGCTCCTCCCCTTCGGCCCAGCGACAAGGGTACGGAGACGATGAAGTCCTTTGCCTCTCCGAAGCAGCGGTGGGCCTGATCCCCCGGCTGCGAACAGCTCACGAAGGGGTAGGAGCCTCAGGAGATGGAGCTGGTGGGGATTTCGATGGCAGATGTCTTCACGTCAAGGAGTTCTCAAGAAACTAAGGCTGCTTGAACCAGCAGTATATTGTCTTACATCAAACGCTCGGAAGCTGGGCAAAGCTGCAAACACATCCCCAAGACGACGTCTTTTCTTGTTTCTTTCTTCTTCCTTTTCTTTCTTGAAAAAACACATCGCACCAGAACCCAACGTCACGAAACCAAAACCGCCACCACCTTCCGTGACCCGCGTGGCACGAACTCAGAGCCCAGACCCAGAAGGAGCTCCTGCGCGGGGCGCGCGGGTCGGACTTGGACCGGGACCCGGCGTCCGACCCACAGTTTGACGCAGGTCCAGTCTGGTGTGTTGTATGACCAACTCCAGTATTTCATCATCGGTGAACCTGTGGCTGGAAGACGTGGTGTTTCTTCACCATGTTTTCCAGACACCTGGCTAGTGAGAGACACGTGTCTGGCGTTCAGGCTTCGGGCCCAAAGTATCTGAAGTGGTCTCCAACAAAGAAGAGCTCCAGGTCCTGTAACCAGCGACCCCAGCGTCAATTGGGAGCCTTGATCTGAGCTTGGAATCCAGCTTTTTGGAGGCAAACGGATTACTTTCGTGCATGCTAAATTCTCTGAGGTATTCTTTAAGAGAAACAGATCAAAACACGACCATGGCCTGTAATAAGCAAGTACATGAATGGCCAATCACATCCAATAACCAAGCAAAGAGCCACCAAGCCGAGCAGCTGATCCTCGACCGGATCTAGCCAAGCATGTTGGACGACTGGGGTGTGAGAAGTACTTTGGTAGACAGGTAGACATCTTCGATGCATTCCAATTCAAAGAGATCATCTGGCAAGACACCAGGTGTTTTTGGCTTCATGTCACATGTCAGGGAGCCTGACCTGAGCCAGCGACATGGTACAGTAGCATTCGGTTCGTTGCATTCGATGTTGCTTCCCAAGAAGCCTTGCGAATGGATTTGCTCCAGGAGCTGGGAAAAAAGCGGTTAACAAAAACAGGGGAAAAACCATCCACTATCACCCTTACACTCAGCCCTAGTTCTTGCGCAAGCAAGCCTTGCGCCTGGATCATGGATCCAATCCCCTGCGCCTATTCAGCTCAACCCGCCTGGGGGACCAGTCGTGCCAGCGTCAGGTAGCCCAGATTGGCCCAGCGGACGGGCCTCCGGTTGACTCCGACACAAGAGCTTCGAGCAGTCCTTCAAGGTTCCTAAAACATTAGGTGGGAACATCTGCGCCGGATCGACTTCGGCAAGACGTCTGAAAAAGATGGTGCGACATCAGACTCAATGGGTGGCTTCTCAAAAAGGAGAAGCCAGATTCTCCACAAAACCAGTTCAGGTCTTCATTTGAGACACTTCCCTGATCCAAAGGAAAAGTCCATTATCTTATACTTCCTCAGGTTGACTGCTCAACTGCTGACTGCGTCGCGTGCAATCATGCATTTTCTCCTACAACTCTGGCGCAGCTACTGCCAGAAAGGACACATAAACCGGCAATAAGAGGTGGAGCCACCAGTGAGACTGATCTTTGGCAAAGATGGGTGCCATCAAGGCCTCGATGGGCCGTTGCACTGCGACAAAGAGCACCAAGGCGCAAAGCGCATGCGCCAAAATCAGCCCTGGACCCAGCAAGAGTTGCTCGTAGAAAGGATCCACGCGGTCCCCACGCATGAGAATCTGACCTCTTTGAGAGTAGCCTTCCACCAGAAAGGTTTGTAGTGGTGCTTCAACCGCTAAGATGCAGAAGCTCAAGCGAGAAATCAAGCTGATCATACTGCACGTGAAGCTTCCCGTCATGTGACGCCTGTTTTGAGGCGCATCCAGGTCTAAGAGCTCCAATGTATCCGCCCTCAAGAGAACGCAAAGGCCCAGCACAAACGGCAAGTCGCCCACCGCATCCTTCACATTTCGCTCCTGGCAGTCTTTTGTTTGTGTTTTTGACACATTGGACCAATGGTGGCACATTTGGAACACCAATTTGCAGAAACCGTCTCTTTCAGGATGTGATCAGAGGTGGTGCTGACACCGCTCCGGTCGTTCCACGAACAGCGCCATCGAAAAAAGACGATCCGAGCGACAACCTGATCCTGTTTCGCGGTCCTGACACCAAAGTGCATAATCATTGCGATTGATCCAGCTCGACCAGAGCCAGCCCAATCCAGCTGCCAGCCAACCCACGCGTTGCGTCAAGAAACGCTTGGGGATGAGATGAACGAGCCTTCGGAAGAAGAGGAAGAGTCCTAGAAGGCTTCTGAGGGCTTCTGAGGATTTGAGCTGGTTGGCCAGCTGATTCAGAGGTTGGAAACCAAAGGCTTAGTTCTTTCAGTTGAAACAAAGGGTTCTCTCCTCAGAACGGGCCACTCGCTAACTGCTTGATGGTCTTGTGGGAGAAATCCATTTTCTAGACCCAAAGAAGGCCCCCAAGAAAGGCGGGCTTCATCTTCAGCCCGGCCAAATCAAGCCCCCCAACGTCAGGTTTTCCCTGAGGACCTGGTCCAGATCCCAGCCGTTTTCTGAATGGAACCTCCCCCCCAGGTCTCAACCACTTTTAGTAAGGATCTCAAGCGGCACGTGGACCTCACCATCCGTTGAAGGAACCGTTCGACCGTTTTGACCGGAACGCCCCTTGCTGTTTTGGGGTTCGTCCATGGACCAGGGCTGAGACCCAAACTGTAGACTGAGACTTCTGGGTGGGGAACCCCGGGAGAAAGAGGTCGGGGGAGGAGGGGCACAATCTCCACGTCTCCTAAGAACGCGGGATTCTCCAATCTCTTGGCCAACATGTAGTGCTGCTCCGTGAAGTCCCAGCGCATCTGCTCGTGAAAGTAGTCGATATAAAAGTACGCCAGCCCAAAGACACAAAGAAGAAGCTCCAGGACACCGGCGTAATTCAAGCCCATCGCCTGGAGGAGCAGAAAGCCAAAACAGGCCAGAATGCGTTCCGTGGCGTCCCTCACTTGCCAGTTGATGGTGTGAAACCGCAAGGCGCACGTCCAAAAAGATCGTCGGCCTCGGGTGAACAGCTCTGGTCGGTCAATTTTTGGTTTCCGCAGATATCTGAAGACTTCACCGACAACAGCTCAAGTGAACAGATCAATTGAACAAATCTTCATGGACTCTTCACCAAAACAGCCTCGAGTGAATCACATCGAACTTCTCTTTCGTGGCAACAGGTGCAGTTTCTTTCTTGAAGATCATAGACTGGGCCTTCTCATTTGGGACTGTGGCTCTGCCCTGTTTTTAGAGATGAACCCCATTCGCGAACTTCCACTGTCGATCGGAAGCGTGCAGGTGTGTTTGACCCACACCACAGCGAACTTCCGCAGCTGCTACAAAACCCGGGAAGATTAACATAGAACCTGAAGGACACGTCGGGTTGTAGAGGAAAGGTAGTCTTCCAGTCTGTCTCCATGCCATCAGCTTCCATGTGAGTCTCTTCCCGGGTGTATCACATCTCTGGATCTTCGTTTCGCACCAGGAGAGTCTGACCGCCATTAACACTGCTTGTTTTGACGGCCCGAAACTGAACCCCGTCTCTTCACGTCGATGGAGAACCTCTCCGAGTCGGCGTTCCCGCCCGGAACGCCCCGGCGTCGATGGTGTGATCGGTCCGAACGCGAAGCCGGATGGTTCGTCTGTCGAGGTTGGTGTGAATCCGGGTGGCATCCGTAGATGTCCTGCTGGGTGTTCCACTGCAAGACCGATCCTTCTACCTGACCGGTCCGGGACCGGGACCGGTGTTCGGCGAAATGGTCAAAGGGTAGTAAGAAGAACAAGCTTCCAAGCTATAAGAACAAGCTAAGAACAAGCTATAAGGGTTTTGAGTAAGTCCAAGCTATAAGAACAAGCAGGTTTTTAACATCTCAACAGACCGAAAACCTTCGAACACTTGAAGGGTTCAACCGCATGACATTCTGAACAACAAACAGCTTCTTTTGCTCCACAGTCAGACACAAAAATGATCAAAAAAGACTGTTCCTCGTTGAGGATGTTTCTTCTCCCACCTGGCTCTGGGTTCCATCCAAATACGACAGTGGCTTGCTCTGGAAGGCAAATCGGCTCCCAACGCGGTCCCACCAGACGGAGAGGATGATCAAAGGCCACTGCCGCAGAAACTTCCGAGCCAGTTTCAGATTACACTTCCTGACTGCCGAAGTGAAAGAACACGACGACTGAGAGCTGAATTGGGTCACATGTGGATGTGCGAAAATGTGGACACACAGCGGTTTGGAACGGATTCTGTCCCGCTGAACTTTAAAGGAACGAACTCAAAAGGACACCGCTGGCCATCTGAGCTTCTGTGAGATTTCCCAGAAGCTCTTCTCCTTCAAGCCCGTGCTGCCACTTTCCAGTGCGAAGTGCAAGGTGAGCACCGTCATCACCAGCACAGCGCGAAAGTAAAAGGAGATCCGCAGATTGGAAGGAACCAGTTTCTCCGTTCGTTGGGCAATTTGCGATAGCTCCAGGTGAAGGCAAAGGAGAAAGAGAGTGGCCAACGTTCGCAAGAGGTCCACGCCTAAACCTGCGGCCTTCGGCTGCCATAACTCGGCCCAGGAGCGCTTCAAGGAAAAGGACTGTGCCCAATGTGCAAAGCAACTTTTCTGCGCTGGTCGAGGTACTTGGTCGAAGCAAAAGTGATCAGCCATGGTTCCAAGAGAAAGGAAGGAGATGATGGCAATGCAGCAAACTTTAATTTGAAGAGACACTTCTTGCATCCGCTCTGCAAGTGTGGCATCTGCATCTGCATAGACCGCATCCAGGAAGTGTGGCCACTCCCAAGCATCGACTGAGCGGATTCTCATCCTGGGAGCGTAGCATGGGAGACTCATGGAGACGCATACATTCCATGGCATGGTCCCTTGAAAAACCGAAGGATCCCATCCTTTTGCTTTACACAGGTGAGGTTCGAAGAGAGGGTTGGTTCCAGCCCTGGCATCTCAATGTTGTGGGACCGATGCCGGCCGGTTCCGAGCAAAACAATGAACCAAAATCTGGTCAGTTGATGGAATGTCCCCTGACTTTTTGTCCAAATAACTCTTGACCCATCACAACCATGAAAATCAGCAACTTCGCTTTTCCTCCAAATGACCACAGGAAGGTCCCCATGAATCCATCGGAGAATCCATCGAGAAGGCCCCCCAGATCATCAGCACCGGCCATCTGTTTTACTCCACCAATCACCTTCACGGAACACTTCACCGAACATCGCGCCCAAAACAAAACCAAACTCGAGCCCAGAAAAAAACCTTCAAGCCTTCAGCCTTCACCAAGGCCTTAAACCTCTATGCATTCTACTGGACAGGCTTTTGACCGAGATCTTTCCGCCGCCCCCACCCACCGAGCCACTGGCGTGCTCTGAAGGCCAAGCTTCATGAGCCGCCGTGCGTTGGCCACCTGCAACGCATAGCGGGGCGCCAGCTCATCGACCACTTCCTTCACCGAGCAGATCGAAGGCGCGCAGAAGCCAAAGTGAAGACGATGAGTGGAGACCTCCGAGACCCGGTCTCTACTCAGCTCGAGAATTCAATAAGATGGCACGCTCTCGCGACCGTGGAACCAAAAAGCAACCAGGTGTTTCTCTTTGCAAAAAGAAAAACAAGAAAACCACCGAAAACAACAACAACAACACCCGGTTTGGAGTCCTTCTTTTCAGAAACATCTCAGGATGTTCGCCTGATACCACACGGTCTGAAAAATTGTTCTCAGTGAAACAACGCAGGGTGAGATCTTGGTCGACGCAACATTGGGCATCCCAGATCTTGGTCCTTTTCTTTTGGAGAAGCAGAACCGCCCTTTCAGATGAGCACGTTCAGCATGTTGTTCATATATATATATATATAATATTAATTAAACACCATCAAGAACACCAACTTCCGGCCTCTCCTTCCCAGCTCTGGGTTTCAAAGCCCAGTTGAACCAAGAAGAATCGTCCATTGAAGGCAATGCAGCCAGGGAAATCGCCATGTTGTTGACCATCCCAACCATGTCCCAGGTGCCTTAAGGGCACACCAGAAAACTCGGCATACACACCAATGGGCGGGCCCCACTGGATATTCAAATCCCATCCCCAGCGAGCTTGGCATGAAGAGATGCCCTTCTTCAAACTCTCCTGGCGCTCGGTAATCACCGCACTCTCCAAGTGGAAGCCATGATTCTGGTGGAACCGCACATATTTGCCCACGCCCGTTTTGGGCTCCGTGGGCTCCATGGACTCTGCGGACTCTGTGCCGTGGTTGGTGACGGTCTCATTGCAGCAAAAGGCATAGGTGAAGGTCTCATCCTTGGACTTCGTCAGACGAAAAGGGACAAGTTGTGTGGCGGGACAAGCGGGTGGCGGGTGGCGGGTGCGGTGCGCGTGCAGGTTTGTTTTCACCAAGCTCCACTTGGTTGGGACCCACAGCTCCACAGCTCGAATCATTCATTTGGCACAGAGTATAAGGAGCAAAAAAAGGGGGATTGGAACCGAACCCGTTCGGAGAAAAAGGACACACCGAAAAAGACACAACACCTGTTGATGGTCGCGATACACCAGGCATCCCAGCATTCTGCTTCGCCCTGAGGACCCTTCATCGGATCACAGCAAAGCTCGTATGTGAAGCTGCCTGACCAACCTGGCTGGACGACGCCCCCTCCGCCCGACGACGTCCCGGACGTGAGCCGCTCTGGGACGCCAGCATGTCTTAGTTTGGAAAGGTGGTTTTCTGCTAGAAACAGTGATGTGAAAGCAAGACAACCCCCTCTTGTTTCTTGTTACTAGTAATGGCCTCCAACCTACTAGCGATGGCCTCCAACCTACTGGCGATGGCCGCATCCGAAAATGCAACCTTTAGGTGGCTGAAATGGAAAGGCGCTGAAAGGTGCCCAATACTTGCCGAGGACTTGCTGAGCCCCAAACACTCCATGTAAGGTCCTTTTTAGCCGACATTTGGTATTGGTGGTGAATGTAGGGTCGTCATATTGTGTAATATTAGTAATGTTTGCTTACATGGAGCATTGGGGAAGTAGATCAAGCAACAGTATGGATTTCCATTTCCACCTATCTCCGGCAGCAAAGAGATCCACACCAGGCTCCATCTCCACAGAACGCGATCCAAAGCCATGGACACGTCTGCGGCTTTGTGTGTCGCTGGTCGTATTGTTAGACATCTATTCACCGACCGGACATCTATGTCCTGCTGGAAACCAACGATTTGCGGAGCTTTTTTCGATTTTGGGAGCCCCAATTCGCAAGGAGGTTGGAGGCCATTCCTTTTAGGTTGGAGGCCCAGCAATGGCCTCTCCTTGTTCACGCTCCAAATGGAGCCTACTCTTTCCCAACCCATGAGCGTTTCGGTTGAACTCTGAGCGATTAAAACTCCGCCGTTTCGTTTTTGACATGTCATGACATGTCAAAAACGATTTGATGTCTTACACTATCTGATCTGCTTGATTTGTGTCAACATGTAAGAATACGTAAGATCACCTTACATGTATCATCACATATCCATCATCTGCGCTAAAAATTCCTCGGCGTGGTGAACAACTGCATGATGTCTGCAGGGGGGGCACTGTCTGGTTCCCCTGGTGATTTATTTTATAAGACCTTTTCCTTCATGTTCCTGAATCTCCCTAGAGCCAAAAGATATAGCGAAACACCGCTGGGCCATGTGTCAAGTGTCTGCGGCTTCACAGCCGCACAAGCCGCAGAAGCCGAACAATGTCTAGATCGGCTTCGGAGATTCCTGATGATTTGGACAGATTTGGACAGATTTTTACCCATCCAATGATGAATTTAAGGGGTTCAATTCAACCTTAAGAGGTCTTAAGGAATGAATTAAAGATAATTAAACCCTCTTAAGGCCCATGTTAGGGCCCATGGGTCGGAGACCTCCATCAACCAAGACATCGAGTCACAGATCGGGTTCAGTTTCACGTTGAGATGTCTTTCCACCTTTTGTTTTCTCTGCCATTCTATCATATTCTATCATATTCTGTATGGTTTCACGACGCCTGAACCTCGCGATCTCCACCAGGTCACCTGTCACTGCCGGTCACCTGAACCGGTCTCCACGCCCGATTCTGTGCGGACCACCGACCTCGCGGCGACCTCGTCGGGGAACGGCAGGGACACGCCCGGCCGGACCTGGAGGACGATGCGACGTGAGACGTGGAGGAGCCCGGCGAGTCAGGTGCTACTGGCGGGTGCTGTGCACCCACGCGGGTGATGGGTGCGAGGTGCATGGTGACGCGGACGTCACAAGGTCGGAGGCTCAATCGGACTCTTGAGTCCGATATGTCTATCGATCGTCAGGTCTGGTTTGGTGATGGGATTTTCAATGACACCTATGGTAATCATGCCTTGGAGGGCTCCTTGTTCAATCCCTTTTTCAGCCCTTTTCCGTGTTCCGAGAAAGCGATTCATCAAGACAGATGCGTTGCTTCGTAGGAGGAATGCTGGGAGAGTGACCTGGACGGTGGAGCACTGTCTGTGGAGCACTTGTTGGTTGCATCCGAATCCGGTCCCTGCCTGGTAAGCCGGTCCCAGAATTGGTCTACTGGTTGTTCCAAGGAACACAGCGCTGGCGCTTGAGATCCCTGTTCCAAGTGGTTGTGTGGGTTTCTGGTTCTTTGGCTTTCCAGGTATCTCACATTTCTCTGGGAGAGTCTTGACTCCTCCAAAAAGTGCTTCAATCGTTCTTCACACATCTTCACACATCTAAGCCCTTGCCGCAAGCCCCTCCCGCTTTGGAGAACGCGTTTCATGCCTCGTTTGCTTTGTTTGGTCCTCTTGCCACGCCAAGGGCCGACTGTGCCAGGACCGGACCCCAGCCGCTGGGCAGACGAGGTGCCAAGTGCCAGAGTAATGAGAATTGATCGCGAAGGTCATGCCTGGCAGCCACCCTCTGGCGAACATGTTCCTCGTTGGTTCTGGAAACCTATGCAACAAAGATCTGCCTACGGGCCTACTTTTGGGATCCTAACTTGGCTGGCTTTAGAGATGAACTTCGGCAAACATGTTGGCTTAGTTGGAAGAGGCCTGCACTTGTCGCATACTCCAAGAGGGTGAAGTACTGTTGGAGCCACAACATCCCAACGACCAGCGACTAGCCCTCCCACTCGCAAAAACGCGACAACGAGGACACCTGGTGGTTCCATAGCCATAGCACATGCGATCAACCTGGTCAGCCCCCGAGCTTGCCATGAGCCAAATCCCTCTCCCAAAGGCTGCTTGACGACTTCATGTTTCGAAGGGTCTTCACTCCAGGCCCTGAAGGTGCGCTGTAAGGTCCAGGACCACTGATCACCTGCCACCTCGGCCGATTTTGCGCTCTTATTGCATCTTAGACAGTCCAACGCAGAAGGAGTTCTGCATCGTGTAGTTGTTCAAACGCCCCCCCAAACGGCAAGGTGATGGGCTTAATCGGCTCCTCATGGGAGACTCTGTTACACCCAGTTTTGCAGCCTTGTTCTCCGGCTCTTGGCGCCCTTCCCACGCTTGGCATTTCTTCTTCGCACTGCCCACCGTCAGACGAACGACCCACCAGGTCGACCATCGTTTCAGACCCGTTCGACGGCGCACGTGGTTCCCCCAGCTTCGCAGCTTCCGTGTGAGCGACTCAAGGCATCGGTCGAACATGAAACCCGGCAGCGGCCAGCGCCCACCAAACGGTCTGACGACTGATCCGAGAGATGGGCATGAACACTTGGGTGGTGCCGAAGATACGAAGAAACTGGACTTCTAGAAAAAGAGATGATCGAACCGCTTGACATCGCCGCTCCATGACAGGATCGCATCTCGATGATCCGACGAACCACTCTCACCGAGGCTGGCTGCCTCATGTAGGGGTTGAGCGCCACATCGTCAGGGCCATAGACCTCTTGCAGAAACTTTCGGCCTGCGCCATCCGCCACAAAGCATCCAGGCATGAAATCTGGCCGTGGTGTCTACTGACTCCTTCTGTCATCCGTGCAGAAAGTTCAATTAGAAAAAAACACTTCGAAGAAGATGCCGCCCCGCAGCAACCCCAATCAACCTTTTCGCAGGTGTTTTTTGTTTCTGTTTCTTTATCTTTCTTTCTGTCTTTCTTTCTTTTCTTTGTTTTGTTTCTTCCTTCCTTTCATTCTGGTTGTTGGCAATCTTAAATAGACCACATTTCCCCCCAAAGCGAAGTACCTTCCACTGTTCACTAGTGGAGCACCCGTTGACTCACCATAGGCATGCCATTTTGGGGGCAAGAAGCGAGACACGCGACGCCTTCGGGAGAGCTCCGCACCAACCAGTTGCCACCAGCGAGGCCGCGGCCGTCCTGAGGACACGGAACGACCCTCGTCCGGCTGAGCGACGAATGTCCAAACAAACGTGTTGACCGTTTGTTCCGCCTTACCATCCTTTCATGTCTGACCTATCCCGACCATTGGCTACATGTGATGCGTAGCCGTGCGATGTTATTTTTTTTGCTTCCGTGGATGGCCGGCATGGCCTCGAAAGGAAGACCGTGTTCTCTACAAACAGGTGGTGCCACCCACGTAACCATGTTAATGACTCGGAGAGAAAAACTTACGACCAGACATGGAGGAGCTGTTTGCTGAACAAGAGAGATGGAGAATCCACGAGGAGTTTGCTTTCCTCTGCAGAGATGGGACTACGAAGATTGAGTGCAGTCTACGGAGAATGGAAGACACCACGGACGAGTCCAAGACATCTCCAGTGAAATACCGTCATTGGAGGATTTCAGGGGTTGGAGTGATACATGACTCTTGATAAACAGTACCCCCAAGACATGGATTGTAAAAACCTTTTTTATAAGGGTCTTGTTGATAAAGATTGGGTACCCATTCACAGCAACAGTGGATGATAGTTAGATTGCAGGCCTTTCAAACAAATAGCTCATACTAAATCATTGCTTAGAAATCGTCAAAAAACAGGAAAAGAACAGGAGAGGTATTAGGAGAGACCCAAGATGAAGAGTTTAATACCTAGACCTTCAAACAGGTGTCCTGTCTGGAGATCCACAACAAGTAGTATAGGCTATTCCATTGGAGACCTAAGACATGAAGGTGCTGGTAGGGAGTTATGTGATCCCATTCAGACCCATTAATTATCGTGATCCCCAAATAGCTCGTCGCACTGTGAAGCTCTCATCTCGACCGGTTCGGTACCGAACGGAACCGGAAACCCGACCGGTCCACCAGGTCGGCTCCCCGCAGTGAGGCTGGACTAGTACTGTGGAGAAGATGTGTTTTTGAGTGGGGAGAAAACAGTGTTCAAACAATAGGCTACTTAAAATCATGTGATCTAATGAATCTAATGATTTATGTTCATTCTTCTTCTTCTTCTTCTTTCTCGTCTCACCGGAGAGTTCGCCGTCCTCCGAGATGAGGAAATGGACGTCGGGATTGAGTTCCAGCTTCCCCCAGGGCGTCGCCCGGCTCGCGAAGCGATACAACAGGCTGTCCAGCGTGACCTCATCGCGGTCGACTTCGTGTTTCGGTGGGATTTTGGGACCAGCGATGCTGCCTGAGGAGAGGAGAGGGAGGGGGAAGTCATGGAATTTTATCATGGTTTGGCTCCATGACTTGTGGGGTAGCTACAAAAGATTGTAGGTGTTGATCGGCGTTCTTTTTCTTTCCTTTACACTTTCGGCAGCAAGACTCCAAAGTCCTCACTCAGATGTCATCGAGCCAATTGATCTAACCTCTCCTCAGCATCGGCCATCCAATTCTCGGCCTCCCTCGGCGCCCCAACGGACATGTCCACGAAGAGGGAGTCACAATCCATGGAAAGAATCCAGTCCTCGGTAGCTCCACGGTTCCCGGACTTCACATGCTCTGCTCAACCGGATACGAGTGGAGAAGGACAGCATGCTCTCCCCAACGCTGGGTGTTTCAACGCGAGAAGTGATGGATAACAATTCGTTCGGTGAAGCTCCGAAGAACAGTCATCTGTTCGGGTCTGATGCTCATACTTAGTGGGGCAAAGAACAAAAAGACATCCCTCAATTGGAGGGCTTTTTGGCAGGTGATCCACTCAACTCCTGGATCTGGGTTGTCTTGTCTACTAGTCAAGGCCACGCGGGCCAGCGGTTTTTGCATGGGATACGGTGTCCCACCCTGTGCGTGTACCAGAAGCTAGTCAAACCCTGTGGCGAAGGAGGCCAAGGACCAGCAGTTTCATGGGGGATGCTGGCACTGTTTGGGATACACTGCCTGGAAGAATCATGGAAGGGGATGGCAGTCCCTTGGATGACCATGAAATCCGAAGACCAAACAGGTGGTGGGTTCCCCTTCCATGAATTTCAGATAATATGGATATAATTAGCACATCCGCCAGATCCACCACTTGATCTCCATATAGATCGTCCCGAAAACACAAGGGTCACATTCGCGCAGTATTCGAAGAGGTTTTTTGGACTACCCAACAGGTATGGCTCATCTTCAGACTTTCATAGAGGGGGATCGAGTTGTTGGATCCTCTTTTGGGCAGGTCTCAGTGGATGCTGAGTTCCTGAGTTCCTGGCATACTTGCCGCTATTGATCCTTAGCGAACACAGACGACCCAAAGCCTTGACAGACTTCCATCTCACTACTTCCCTTCCAGCAAATCGACCCAAACTTGCACCATGATCTACCGTGAGATATTCGCAGAAAGGATGTCACTCGGAAAAACACCCCACGCACGAAAAAAACGTCCAACGAAAGGGCATGATGGATTCCGAGGTCCAATGAACATGTCCAATTCACTCACCATGCCATGCACTGCACTGCGTTGGACACCCATGGGCACCCAACTGCGTGAACATGTCCCGGCGCAGCCTTCGATCCCATCGGCTCACGACACATCCTTCGATCCACACTCCTTCGATCCAATGAGGCTACTGTCAACTGCTTCTTTAATCGAAAAAACACTGCAAGACGTGTCACTGCAAGAAGGTTTCGCCTTTTCAATCCTTTTCATATGTTCAATCAAGTGGTGACATGCATGCCAACTCCTAGCCAATATCCATCGCTGCCAGTTTGATGGCTTAGTATCGCCACTCCAAAGGGACTACAGAATGTCAAGACTGTTAGGAACAGTACCACAAACAGCTACATATGAATTCAACACCTGACAGAGAAGGCTTCCCCTAGTTGCAGGGCCGCCCTATTGGTTTTCCATCCTCCATTTCATAAAGCATTTTCTCATGTATTAAGATAGGGAAACCTCACAGGCCAGGCCTTCTGACTGGGTTCAGGCACGGCCGAGGCCAGGTGTTTGAGTGGTCAAATCCACCACCGCATCGGTCCCTGTCACGAGCACCGACCCCACCCGCGGCATTCTCGCCCCGTACGGCGCCCAGTGGCAACTCCAGTGGCCCAGCGATCTGGCCCCAGACGGGGTGCCGCGCCTGGCCAGCGGGTGAATGCTTCGGGTTCGCGGCGAAAAGCGGGAGAGTGAGAGGGAGACGTGGGTGGGAGAATTGGATGTCACAGTGGCCAGATGTGGAGATGGTGCGTCAACACATCTGGGAAGAGATTGAAACACAATGATTTTTATCGTTTAAGACAAAATGAGACAAAGACGTGACAAAGACTCGCGCGTGCAACTTTGTGAATTGCAGGTTTTGTTGCACTTCTTGTGTCATTCAGGACCACTGAGTGAGACCTCCAGTCGTCGTCTGAAATTCCCCTTCTTGATCTGAGTCGGTGAACGTCGGTGAAGCTCGCACTTCGACGGATTCTCGTTTGGCGTCCGCGAAACACCTTAATCTATCCCAAACGCATGTTTGGTCAAAGCACTGCATCTTAGGAACATTCACGGAACATATCCAGTCAGGGAACATCTCCAGATGGCCGCTTCGAATCCCTTTACATCTTTCTGGCCCTGCCTTGGACGATGCCGGACGCTCACTGGTCCACTCCTGAGCTTACTTTTTTTGCATGCTGAGCGTTTCAACGGCACATGTCTTCCGTTTTGCCGATCACTGTGGCTTCCTTTGAAGTAAACCCAAAATCCAGCAGAAGAGGTGCCCCCCCAAACCATCTGCAACAGATAGCAACTGTTTCGCTGGTTTTACCAATCTTTACCTCCAACTCTAGCTGTGTTTTACTTTTTTGAGCATTTTTGACAAGTCCTTGCGTGTATAAATCATGATAAATCATAAGCACTGACTGTATCCATGCAAACAAACACGGAAGTGGACCAGCCCCTGCGTAAATCTTATTGTACTGATCCTGGAGTAGATAGAATACGGAACATCCTGGAACATCCACGAGAGTCGAGCTTAACCGCGGGAACAAAGAAAGGACATTCACCACGACAGCCGTTTCCTCAACCACGACAAGGGCGACCTCAACCACGATGACAAAACAGCGACCAAAGCCCTAACCGCTGGAGCTGTTGAACTTGCCGCGGGAACTTGCTGAGCAGCGAGACTTCTGCCTCTACCTGAAGCCGGTCGCTGGTCAAGTGACCACCTGAAGCTGATTTGAAGGTTTCTAAGGCAAACAGGCAATAATCGTGAGGCCTTTCAGGCAAACACTTCTTGAAACGAAGAGATTGGCGCCGTAAAGCCTCTAAGGCATTCCACAAAACGAAGAGATTCAAGCCCCTTGGCCCTGGACGCATTAAAACCGCTGGGACGTGAAGGTGTTCAAGCCTCTGAGGCGTTACAAGCAAACACCCTTCAAAACCAAGAGATTGAAGCCGGGCCCGTCTGCACCGTTTTGAAGGGAGTTTGCTTGGAATGTGGGTGTCCTCCCCGAAGGTCCCCCTCGCTTGCCACCACGTCTTTCAAAAAACAAGATCATCTATGCTTGGATGCGCGGCAAGCAGGAGTGGAAAGGCAATCTTTTCAACCGTCTGGCGTCGTTTCAAATTCGTGATCGCCGGTAGGTCAACTATCTGGCGCGCTCTGCATCGTTCTTAATGGCAAACTTCAGATCCGAGGCACAGACCGTCGTTCTCTTAGCATGTTCTGCGAAGACCTTGCCACCTGACATAGACTCAATGACATATGTTTTCCTGGCATGAGCGAGCTAGGCGAGTGGCGCCGACAAAGCCGACGCAACGCACGGAATACAGTCAGCGACAGAAAGGGTGGCTTTTTTCAACCGTAGGAAGCAACAACAGCTCGGACTCGTGGCGCGCTCTTGTGTTTGCTTTAACTGGTCCTGCAGCCCAAGCTGACTGACAGGCTTTTCACTTCTTACCCCGAAAAGACAAGAGAACGCTCAGGATCCGCCGCGTCCTCGTGCCCCTCATGTCTTTCAACCAAAACTCCAAGCGTTGCCGCGCTCCTCCATGTCTTGTCTGCTGCTCGTCCATTACACCCGCAAAAGCTGTCTGCAGCGACCCAGACCCTTGGCAACCTCTCTTTCGGCCTTCGACAGCTGCTAAGCCTTCAGGGCAAGGAGGTTTAGCCGATCGGGCAAACATGGCCTCTTTCAAGTGGATTCTCTCTTTTTAGGGAGTTGCCTAAAGAGGAGCAAACTTCCGGAGCTTCCTTCCTCATGGATGACTCCTCGATCAAAATGACCTCTATGAAGTGTCTGCGTTGGGAGCGTGCGTGTGCTGTTGTGGAACAGGAATCGAGTCGTTGTCAAACAAGGGGCAGAGAGCTGGCTGTCCCACTCATCCGTAGTAACTTCTTCCGCCTCCTGGCGAGAACAGGCAAGCTCTTTTCAGAGGGTGGGAAAGGCCTCAGCACTGCCTCCACATCAGAAGCTGCAGACGTCATTGCTGCAAATAACAGACAGGCTCGACATTCAGGCTAAAATATTCTTAAATTTGACAACGGCACACAGACACAGACCTACCCTGCTAGTGACTACAAGTTCCTATAACTGCCTCACACACACACACACTGTCCTCGCCCGAGGCTGCGGAAACAAACGCGCGCCTTTCCACCTCGCGCAGATCAATCTGCAAATTGGCAGCTGCTAGACGCCCTTGGCCCAAAGCCCCCAGCTGATGGGCGGCTGGTTGGAGATGGCACGTGGTCCGCCAGTTCCAAGAATTGCTCCACTGCCTCCTGGCTATGGTGCAGTCACAAGAAGCACACAACAGAAACACAAGCAGACCCCCCCACAAAAGGCTTGCGCGACGCGGGTGTGAGGTTGGCCCGTGTTCAACGGAGGAGCACGGGTTGGTCACTTCTCGTCTTTTTTTGGGTCGTGGCAATGAGCGCTCGTGGAGGAGACGCCTCCTTGGGCCGGCCTCCCCCCCGCCAAGGGGATCCGCCCAATGGCACCAACGCCGAGGGCCGTGAGGAGACTGCCTGCTCCTGAACAAGAGACAGGCGCAACAGTGACTGTTTCCGGTTGGGGGCATGTGGGAAACTTGGGACACTGACAAAACGGCACCGGGCCTTCTTGCCATGCTTGCCTGCGGCTCTCTCCAAAGCGTGTGAGTGGGCTTGAATATCCCACGTGCTGGAAGTGAGGGAAAGCCTGCTGCAAGTGTGCGAAACCAAGGTCCACAAAAATCAAGGTCGTCCTTGAGCCAGCTAGCGCTGGGGACGGCCAGATGCCCGGCAATGTCCTTCAAATTCTCCATGGGGCTCTTGCGGACCAAAGGCTCCACTGGTGCAGGCTATGACATCAGTGGATTTCCTATATGTGGCCACGCGAGCGAGACAACCCCGACAATGGCAACGCCAAGACAAATTCTGCCAGACAATCCTCCTCAGCCGCCGGCAACGCATGCGAAGCGTTTTGCGAAGTCTAAGAGCTTCCAAATTTCTTCAAAGTTTTCGCGCAAGGCGTAGGTGACCTCATCGACATGCTTCTGGACCAGCGAGGATGGGTTGAAGTCCTGCCCCCAATCACCTCCGAACATGGAAGGATGCGCAAGAAGCTGTGCATGGGTCTGTGCAAAACTAAGATCGGGACCGTCCAGGGCAAACCCTTCCGTTGCTGCTTCGTTTGTTGCCTGCCCGCAGCAGCAATTCAGAAGATGCATCGGCAGGACTAGCCTGTCGAACTTTGTCCGAAGTTTGCCGTGTAGCTCGCGTTGACCAGGCTGTAGGAATGCTTCCTTTTGGTGCGTCATGTGTCCATCGAACTTGGCGTCGACGGCCGCAGGCGCCCCGTCCACCTCTGACGACTTGAAGGTGCGACCTCCTAGGTGTTGGAGCGCATCCCTGAAGACCGGGTATAGAGCAGGCTTGCCAGGAAGTCATCGGGCCTCTTGGACTCGATTGGCAAGGCTGCGCAAGCAGCCCGGATGTCACTGATGCACTCCCACGACGGCTGCGGGAAAGTGACAGTCAGGCGCTGCCGCAACCCAAAGGCATCCTGCAAGAATAACAGTGAAGCAATAGGAGACCACACACTGAAAGTTCTATGTGTGGCGTAGTGTCCTTCAAAGTCGCGTGGTCAGGGACATGTCCAGCTGCTAAAACGGAAAGCCATGGTCTGGAAATGGAAAGTGCATGATTTATCAAGCAGGAGCGACCATCCCACACCTTTGCTGGCCCACAGAATCAACCAAGCTTTCAGCCTCGGGGGCGGTCTGTCTTGTGATGGAGAGCTGAGGGCCTTCCTGAGCCACTGGATGATGTGTTCCAGCTCCAGCTCAACAGCCACTGCAGCTCCTCCACACAGGCCACAAGGCCAAACATAGTTTGTGAAAACAGGGTCGGCAGGAAACCTTCGAGGGAATGTCAAAAAGGTAGGACATCAGGACACCTGGAGCGGCAGTTGAAACTGTGTGAGTGTGTGTGCGTGGGTTCCCCGGCACGCCACCCAATAAAGGCACACAGGGATGGAGTATCACGGGCATGTGGGGGAGCGGTTCTGCGTTTGCCCAGATTGTGGGACACGATTTGCGACTGTCCTCTGTTTCCGTCGCGGCTCATCTGCAGACCTGTGGCAGCCAAACTGCCTCCCCCAGCCAAAATCTGGCGCCGCTGTGGTAGCTCAACATTGTGGCTGTCGACGTCATGCTTGAGTTCATCCGCATGGCATCGTTCGCAAAGTTTTATAGGGCTTCTGAAATAAGACCCGTCAGACGATGGACGGCGCAATTTCCATTGAATCCTCCGGGACAAGCGCAGCCACGGCGACCAAGATGGAGAGGAGTACAGACCTAAAACCAAGTGTTGCAAACACTGGAGCCAAAAGGACATGCGTCTATGATACCCTTGAAATTAAGTGGGGGGTGGGTGGGTACACCGATTTTATCGTTATAGCATGCTGCATATGACATCCAAAATGAAAGGCTGCATTTTGAGCTCTATAGAATTGAGGATTGCGAAGCTGAAAATCATGGCCAGCTCTATAGAATTGGGTTGGGGACATGAAAAATAGGTAGACAACTAGTAGACATAGCAAGTACAAACACTATAGAATCATAGGGCACAAGGTATTTTCGAACTGTTTTTCCAATTATTGAGTAGTAGGGCCACCTAGTGCTGCGCCTGCCACGAAATCTACACTTCGAGGTTCACCAACTGCTGCGCCTGCCACGAAATCTGCACTTCGAGGTTCACCAAGTACTGCGCCTGTCACGAAATCTGCACTTCAAGGTTCACAAAGTGCTGTACCTGCCACGAAATCTGCATTTCGAGGACTTTAGTACGCGGAGCAATCTGTGGAGCTGGAAGCTGAGAACTGGCGACTTTGTAGTACAACTTTAGTACGCGGAGTACTCTGTGGAGCTGGAAGATGAGAACTGGCAACTTTGTAGTACAACTTTAGTACGCGGAACACTCTGTGGAGCTGGAAGCTGAGAACTGGCAACTTTGTAGTACAACTTTAGTACGCGGAGCAATCTGTGGAGCTGGAAGCTGAGAACTGGCGACTTTGTAGTCCAACTTTAGTCCGCGGAGCAATCTGTGGAGCTGGAAGCTGAGAACTGGCGACTTTGTAGTACCACTTTAGTACGCGGAGTATCTGGCGAGCTGGAAGATGAGAACTGGCGACTTTGTAGTACAACTTTAGTACGTGGAGCAATTGGAGCTGGAAGCTGAGAACTGGCGACTTCGTAGTACAACTTTAGTACACTGGAAGATGAGAACTGGCGACTTTGTAGTACAACTTTAGCACGCGGAGTATCTGTGGAGCTGGAAGCTGAGACCTGGCAACTTTGTAGTACAACTTTAGTACGCGGCTGAGTCATCTCTCGTGGCTGCTCTGGTGCCCCTGCAGCTGAATCATGTCTCCCGACCACCCACCTCTCTTGAGAGGTTGACAAATTTTATTGCTTACTCAAAAGTGGTCATTTCGATTACTTTCTGCAGACCTCAAAACACGTGTTTTGAGAGGTTGACAAATTTGAGCTAAATAGCTTCGTGTCTAGACAAGCTATCACATCTTAGTTAACGTCTAGCTCCAGTTAGCTTTAGTGGAGCTAGAGCTAGAGCTATGCTTCACTCATCACTCATGCGTCTGACTGAGGGACACGAGGGACACGCATGGTGGAAAGAACCGGGACACTCCTATGTCAGTTTGTTCTTACAGGAAACTTCCGCCACCGGCTTGCCCGGGAACTACTTGAAAACATTATCACTTGCAAATTACGTATCATCACCTCTGCCCTTCTCTGGACAACATTAGGATATTTAAGCCACTGGACAACACTAGGTAAAAGCTAGCAAACAAAAAAAAAGGTGGACATTTGGGGGGTTAGCATATATATATATATATATGTATGTATGTATGTATGTATGTATGTGTCCGTGACTGGTTGCTTCACTCGCCCCCCGGCTCCGGACATGAGGTTGTGGGAGCGCCTGCAGCACGCTGTACCGGCGTTGGTTTTACCATGTTTTACTCGTTTGGCCCAGGACTTTCTGCCCAACTGGAGTCCTCCTGTCGGAGGGGGACTTTCCTGGGCTGGAGGCATCCATCAAGGTTTTGAGCAGTTACTGTGCAGAGCTGGGGTGCAACCAAGGCACCGTTTTCGCCCCTGCGTGGCCATGTTGTGGCCGGCGGTGGCGTAGCGAACGCCACATATCGACCTTAATGCGTGTAGGTTCACAAAAGCTCTCCAATGACTCTTCCTGCTCACACTCAAGCTTTCGCACAGCGCACTCCTCAGCCTGCTCACGCTCAAGCGTTAGCTTTCGCACAGCAGGCTTTGGGTTGCAAAATCTGACTACGCTGGACACAGGACCTGTAGGAACCTACTTCTGCATGAAAGCTACCACAATTCTATAGCACACCAATATCTACCATCTTATAACATCTATACGCACTGTTGTAAGTGTATGGGACTAACCAGGAGTTGTATGGGATCAATTCCCCTTGATCCCTTGAGCAAACACATGTCCAGTATCAGGCATGTGACCTTGGAAAGACACAGCAAATGTCCGCAAGCACAAAACCTTTAGAATTGAGACCCTTGACATGTAAACTTCAATCATGGCTTGACTATAAAATCAGATGTCTTTACCTTGCCAAGACATGTATTGATACACAATAATCCTCTATAGAACCGAGGCTCGTAATTTCCTGCGTTCTCTATGTTCTCTAAAAAAACAGAGATGCCACCTCCAACATAAGCAGATCATTCCTTTATAAAAAATGATTGCTTTGTGATGGTAGCATCATCGGTTTTTGTAGTGGAACTATCAAGGGGTATCATCTATGGATATCTTTGGAACTAATGCTTGGATGCGGCAGATCATGGAACAAGAAGTTGTTTTTCTAGCTACCGGAGCCAGAGATCAGAGCAGCGAAGCCCGTGCCTGCAGAAAGCTGCCCCCAAAACACCTTAGAGAAACGAAGCCAGCCAAGCTGAAAGAAGCCCTGAAGAAAATCCGCTCCAAAGCGAAGCCCACAAAGTGAAGCTTGCAATGTCTAAGGTTGGGGCGGCCACGTCAGGCAAAGAGTGTCTGTCAACTCAGGATGCAAGTCACCTTCGCCCCATCACGCACCACCAGCGCGCAGTAGTCCACTTGGAGTCACCATCCACAGAGTGCTAGGTATTCCCAGGTCCTGACCCTTTGCAGCTCATCCTCCGCTTGTCAAGCCATTCCAGGCAAACACCCACCAAAACACAGAGATTGAAGCCCGTGTGCACTGTTTTGAAGGGTGTTTTGCCTGGGATGCTGGTTTCCCCCACCTCCTCACAAGTCTGGGTGCCCGAGCCTGCTTTGTCTGGATATGGCAGTAGGTGGCCCCAGCTGCTGGCTTCCAAACAGTGCTGCTGTCGGGGTTAGGGTCTGCGGGGTCGTGGTTATTATATATATATATATACTTTCAGTCGGGGTTGAGAACTTTAAAGCGCCAAAGCGACTTGAGCTTAACCACGGGGAGAAAAAAGGTACATTAACCACGACAACCGTTTCCTCAACCACGACAAGGGCGACCCAAAACCAATCGGAAACTGATCCTGTCTTGGGGTTCATATTCTATTTACTCCAGGATACATGCATGGCCTCCCCAGGCGAAGCCACATCGTTTCTCCCTCCTGAGCCCAGTGCCAAGCCGTAGCCATGGCGAGTGCAGTAGGCACGGCGGTTCTGCTGCGAACGGCTTAGCCTCATGGTGCTCAGCTGGTGTGATCTTTGTCAAAGAATCCAAGCGGAAAACCAGCAGACAACACATGTGGGTGGGCGGAAAAGGACGGGTTGAGAGGCTTGGCAAAAGGAATCACTTTGACTTGAGTCGAGGTATGGAAGCTGTCTTAGCAGCAGGTTTGTATGAGAATAGGAGAATAGGGAGACACCCCAACGATTCCCTGGAAGAAAAATACGAAGACCAGCACCGTTCAGAACCCTCCCGAAACACACACCCGCGATCAGCCGTCTTTTGGGCAATACACACTACCTAGAACTAGAACTGGCCTCTGACTCTTTGTTAAGGCTTGTTCGTTCGCAACATCTCCATCTCCCTCGAACTGGACCCAAAGTCACCCATCTCCTCATCCACTCTCGATTTATTCCTATGAGTTTGCCCTCTCTCTTGGCCCACCCTCGAACTCCGCCCTACCCCATGGATCGAACAACAGATCCGCCTCCTGCAGCCACGGGCCTCCCCACAACCAATGCATGGGAGACTCCGCCGTGTAGTCGCACAGCGAAAACACGCCCAGCCGCAGCGTCGCGTCGCGGTAGTGGCTGGGCACCTCGCGGTAGTGGCGGAGGCGAAGCACCGCAGACTCTTCTTCGTTCGCGATCGATAGAGTCGGGGGATGGAAGAAGCACCGGTGGAATTGAGCTGATATGGTAGCTGGTAGGTAGTATATGGTAACTGTGGCAAGAGTATAAGCTGTGGTAGCTGTGGTGTCGATCGCTGAATTGACACACCAAATGGTGTGTTCCAAGTGCGCAAGCTATCTGGACATCTGTGGACCACCTGGTCAACTCCAACTTCAACGGACGGGCCTTGTTTTGGTTCCCCCAACGTCTCTTCACATCTTCAACGGACGCTTCAACGGAAGGCAGTCCAAACATATATATATATACTGTCCAATACAGTGTCTTCGTCCAAACACGTGGGGTGAGACATGTTCACATCATCTGGCTACGTGGTTTCATGAGAAAAAACAATTCTGTCAGTGGGTGACCCATCATCCCAAGTAAAGTGGTTGAACAAACATCTCTGAAACCACCGCCATCCGTCTTCAACGTCTCCCCCTCCGGACGCTTGGGAGCTTGGCGCCTGCAGGTCGGAGAGGTGCCTCGGACGAAGGAACCATCGCGAAGCTTCAAGAAGATGAAGGACGAAGACCTCCCAAAAATACATGGACCATACAGCTGATATATGGTTTTCCTTTGTTCTTTTTCAAGTGGGTGGTCTACAATAGCCATCGTTGTTCTTTTCCATGTGAAACATCCGGCGAAGTCCCAGGCGCCGGAAAGAAGGACATGACTGGACGGTCTGTGTTGGTCTGCGTCGCTTCCTGTGATGAAAATAAAGACCTTTTCGAATTACATCAATGTAGAAGCTCCCCCCCAAAAAAAAGGAGTTGTGAACCTTGGCAGCGCCTGATTCTGCATCTTCATGCAGCGCCTGATTCTGCCATCTTCATTTTTTAGAGTCATTCTATAAGCCATGGTGCTACTGAGTCAATGAGATGAACCCCATCACCCGACCTCCACCCCTCTCATCATGGCATCACGATCCTCTTTCGATCCTGTTGGGTCTTCGCGTTCGTTCGTTCAGTCGGTCTTCACTGCGGTCGAGGGGCGGCAGCATCTCCAGGTGATTCCTCCGCAGGTTGGCGGCGTTCCTCAGATAGACCTCCATGAAGTCATCAAACCACCTGCGTCAGCGTCCCAAGGCCGTGCAGAAACGGATTCTGAAGCATTTTCGACTGATTTGAGGCCGTGATTGAAAAAAGCTTCGAAGCGAAAGCCATCTGATTCGATGCGAATGCTTTGCGCGCTTTCTGCTTTCTTTGTAAGCTGGGAGAGAAACCAGGTTCAATGAGAACTCTCGAGAAATGCTGAAGTTTGACCAGCTTTTTGGAGGTTTCAAACAAGCAGCTCAACTAGTAAAACCGCCGGCCCCACACGGAAGGTCCATCCTTGGGCCTTTCTGTTGGCAGAAACTCAAAGGGTTCGACAAATGATGAACAACCACTGCGCAATTAGAACACAAGAACCAAGGTTCTGTCGAAGTCAAGCACCGAGGAGGAGCAATCATGTTGAACAGTGGACATGAACCACAAAAATCTACTAACTGATGACTAACAAAGCATCACCCTGAAATCTTCCAAACTGATCAATGACCGAATCCTGTCGTACTTCCTCTGCCGCCCTGCTGGGATAATTTCGGATCCGCCTGATGCCCCACATCTCGTGTTGAAGGCAGGCCATGCCGTTCTCTGCTCGGGTGGTATCCCAAAACATGCTCATGGCCAGCTGGAAGAGGTTCGCCGCTCGTTGGGCATAGCCTCGGAGTTTCAGATCAACTGCTGCACTTGGTTTCTTGGAGTTTTGTCTCGACCCTGACTCAAATCGACTTCGACCGTTCTATGTTCATTCTGACGAGCTCTTCATCATTCGACATGCCTTTTCATGTGGAAAGGACCTTCCACAACGCCACTGTCATGACCAAATATGTGGCATGACCAACAACAGCATCTTCCAAATTCCAGTGACAGTTCAATTCCATCCCCAAAGCAATCTGCTTCTCCTTCCAAAAGGATGAAAGGAATAGAGTCAAAAGCAAGAACGAACCAACAGAAAGTCGAAAACAGAAAACCACTGTTATATACTCCATTTTACTTCTTCACTTTTCCATCCTTTTCCCTTTATTTTTCCAATGGATCCCAGACGCTCCACCGCTGTACCCTTGCCAGCCTTGACCAAGGTATAAGCGTCCCAAGCGGTAGAAGACGGTGGCTGAACCCATCCCTTGGAATGCCATCGACGGACCGACGGACCGAGTCCACGGACAGAGTCGAAGGACCGCGACCGACGCGACTGCCAAGTCGGACTGAGTCAGACTGCCCGCCCTTCGATTGACCCCCCCTTTTCAACCACCCCAACGGCCTAATTATTCGGAGTCCGACTTGGCAGTCCCAAATGGCGGTCGCATCTGGGATAGATCTGTATTCTACTGTATATGTTTAATCTATTTTCGTTTGTCTCAAGAAAAGGATTCGATGCGATACTGATCTAAACAGATCGACTTTTGGACTCCACGCACTACAGTAGAACATTCGATTCTCTGAAAAACTCGACGCAATTCTAGAATAAAGGAAATGGGAGGGACGTTCCGTGTGACCAGGCAAAAGCGCGCGTGCGTCGGGTGCTGTTTCCAACTCGTCGTGACCGTCGGGGCATGTGACCCACGAGCCCTCAAAACAGCACACGTCCTGACGTCCAAAAGGCACTTGGAAAATCCCCCATGATATTGCCATGGGGGGATCCCGCATGATAGCGCATTCTCTAAAGGAACATATATCCTGGGGCAGCACATGGGTGGATCTTGGACGTACTGAGTCAGGTCGAGTCTTCATCCAGGCTCGGTCATGCGCATGTCTTGCCATCAAACCCGTTGATCCATGCTAACCCAGCTGGACACAGCTGGACAGATCAGCACCACGATCAGCCTCCGATCCAACACACCCATTTTTCGTCGTTTTTCTCAACCCGCTGTACGAACAAAAGAAACATCACAACAAATCACAACAATATATTTATAGAACTCATCACCCTGTAAACAACATCCGCCAAGCCAACAAAGCCACCTCAGCAACTCGAAGAAGCACCCATATAAGCCACGCCCTCATGGGCCCAGGGCACGGCATTGAAGCGCTTGTCCAGCATCCAAGGTGTAGGACTCCATGAGCCGAAAGTAGAGCTCCATCGACTCCTGGCAGATCGGCGGTTCCGCTGAACGGTTTCGATGAGTCCGACCGTCCGACCGTGTCGGGAAACAAAGCAAAGCAGCATGGTCCTAGAATTGAAGCAGCTGCATGAAGCTGCATGTACAGACATGGACATGGATGTACATGATACGACTGGGTGTCTTCTGTTCACACAACTGGAACAAACAACTGCGATAGATTCTAATTGGTAGATCTTGGTAGACTCTATATATTCATAAAGCTTCCCACCAACTCTTCGAAAACGACCAGCCACACCCCGGCGTCCCCCACCGCTTGGTTCACGCTTTCCAGTTCAGCTGCCTGGCGAGGTCTCGGCACAGCGGTGCCACTCACCGATCATGACAGCGACCGAAGCGGCCGGGTTTGCGCGGGTTTGTCTTCGCAAGGAGTGTGTCATCCAGCAACTGAGTGATTTCGGGCCTGCAGCACTGGCTCAAGGCTGGATCCCGGCAATCGCACAAGGTACAAAATACATCGTAAAGGAGTTGGTTGTGGCGGTCGCGGCAATGATGCACGCTAGATCACGCGGATGCAAAGTGCCCAAAGGGTTTTCATTGAGTGCTGTTCTTCTGCAGGCTGAACGACAGTGCTGCACAACACGTGCAACCAACGACCGGTCAATGGGTTCCAGCACAAGTTCGTTCTCGTGCAGAGTCGGCGAAATTGAAGGTATAGATGCACAGATTGGTGCTGAACAGATTGTTTTCGCTCTGCTTCTCCAGAATCTTCCAAACTCAGCCGAACATCCGCCTTTCGAGCTGATTCTGCTTCGATACACATCTCTCTGCTGCACTTCGACAACATGTCTTGATCCATCGTCTTCGGGAGAGAGGTCCGACCTTTGGCTTGGCTGCCATGCTTCTCGAAGCAGGGACCGACCAACGGACCGGCCAAGTAGACCCGTGAAGTGACCAAGCTTGCTCGACCGCGACCGGGCTCGGTGGTGGTAGAACGGGGACCGGCCGGCAAGCCAACTGGTTGTATAAGGAAAAAGAAGTTCTATTCCCCAGACGCGACCCATGGGACTGCCATAGGACTGCCGATCAGTTGGGGTGGTTTTTGTGGGGGTCAATGGGGCGGCATACGTGGCAGTCCCATGGAGTGTCTGGGTTCTATTCTATAAATGTTACATCATGTTACGTGTCATCATGTGCCCGCATGACTCGACTCTTGCAGCCTTAGAGACACAGTTTGGTTCGCGCGGGCAAAAAGGCCCAACGAGGCCAGAAGAAGTCCACCGCAGGGTATTCTCCTGTCTTGGTGACTTGCCTGAGTCAGTCCAACCCCTGAAGAGAAACTGGAAGCAGCGACTCCTGATGGACTCTATGAAATGGGTAGACTTTGGATCGCTTTTTCTCTCCCTTTGAGACTTTGAGCCAGAAAAACAGACACCTCCAACATCGCAGGCTCCGCACGAAAATGGCAGAAACCTTTGCAGAGAATCGTGACCTTCATGTCGACTGATGATACTTCAACCCGCAAGCCATATCTGGAGAGGTTGCGCATATACACCAAGACTCTACATCGAGTCCCGTGTAATTAGCCCAGTAACTCGGCCTTCGGAAGAACCATTCTTCCCACTTCCCACCCCAAAATGCTCTTCCCCCCCATCCCGCACCTGCTGCACGCCTTGCCGGAAGCTCACCCAGTCCCCCCCCTGCGCCCCCGCGCAGGTGGCGAACTCGGCACCTGGCCACTGGCCCATGGGATGGTGCCTACATGGACCACCTGAAACCACCCAACCACTGCAAGGTATATCCCTTGGGATCCAGTCGTACCAAACCTCCTCAGGTTCGGTACGACTGGGCCCGACGTTTGGGCACCGGCGAATAACAGTGTCTCCTTCTTCACCGTACCTTTGAGGTACTTGGTTCCTTAGGGTATGGAGGTTTTGTGTCCATCAAATGGGGGAGTGGGACAATAAAACGAAACAGTCTGGTGATGATTGGACACGGATGCAAATGTCTATGATTCGGAACATGCAAGAGAAGGGCAGGCTATGAACTGCTTTGAGCATCTATCTTGCTATTCTGCACCATCGGCCTCCAGGTGGGGGAAGGGGGTGCTCGGTTGCGTAAGATGCGTCGCTTGCTCTTACTTGCTCCGGGGTCTTGACTCGCACGCAATCCGTTTGGTTGTCATAGCTTCAAGAATTCCTGCTTAGTTTTGGATGGACAGCTGGTCAAAACCAGATGCCATCAATCTGCGAACACACCCTCCATCCACCTCAGTTGTTGAGCGAAGTTCGCTTTGTCGCTGGGTCGGTCATGTGTGACAAGTGCTCGGCTACCCCACATTCTCGAGGCCAAGGCCTTGGGGTGATCAATGCACGAGCAAGCTTAAGGCAAAAAGAAACATCTGAAGTTGACTTCAGGGCTGATGTCTAATTTTCGATCAGTTCAGATGTGATCTGAACATTCTCAATGTTAAGATATGTTAACATGTGAATGGATTTTCACATCACAAGATGGTGTCAAACATGTGGTCATCGTAATTGATTCTTTCGCTGATGTGAGTGGCTGTGATCGTCCTTCATCGAGCCCATGAGGCTAGCAAACCCGTCTGAATTGAATTCATTCACATCTTCACAGACTTTGCAAGACACCCTTAAATCATCTTAAATCAACCATTTATTCTTTTCCAATTGCTCACCAACATATTTTGCTTTTACAACTATTTTTAGTCGTTTTGTGTTTGAATCGTTCACACAATGTTCACAGACTTTGCACAAACTGAGGATTTGCTAATAGCATTTTTCCCTCCATGTTCACCCCAAAAGCATGCCCCTATACTCTTGGACTCCTGATGAATAACACACATTGGATTTTAAAGCTTCTTCATATGGTCTTTCTTTTTTACATCCGGAGACACCCGATCGCCCCTGGCTGTTCTATTTTCCGAACCTAACTGCTTGCAGGGGGTCGGAACATTTTGGAGGGGTCGGTGACCTTCTGGTCAAGGTTTTCGCTGTCTCTGAGTCCCTGTGCTGAGCCTCTCCAGTCCTCACAGGTTCGGTAGAAGCAATGGGGAGAACGGTAGAAGCAGGCTGACTCGCTGGAACTCACATGGATTCGTGGGAAAACCCTGGTCGGTTTCAGGAACATGTCTTCCTTTTTTTCTCGGTGCCCATGTTCCACTTCCATGTTGGTGGGTCAGAGTGCATTCTTGATCACTCCACGTGCCGGGATTCCCACGTGCCAACGGTCCCAGCTGACAAAGGGATCTAAGGCTCTAAGAGGTGTCGGGCCTTACTCTTCGGAACTCATGGGCGAACGAATCCTGAAGACCTTTTTGAACAAAGCCCTTTTGGAAGCATCATCCAGGAATGCAGTTGAGCCAAGAGTGAGCCAAGAGTCTTCAGGAGGCTACATATTATAGTGTCCTTCCATCTTTGCAGCTACAAATCCAGCAGGTTCTTACATATTTTCTCCTTGAAGACCAATCACGAGCATGCCCCAACCCTATTCCAATGCAAAGATATGCAAAGCATATTTCCGGGCTTGCAACATGGCAAAGTCCACCATCGTCTACCCACAATTCATCACATCGTGCATCCACTGAGAGCACGCCAAGAATCACAGAATGATGTCAAACATTAAAGCTTCTTGTTACTACTAGTAAGGCACCTGTTACTACTAGCGTGGCACTTGTTACTAGTAGCGATTTTAAAAATGCTAAAGAAAAGCCCACTTTCCGCACATTGGCAACCCCCACCGATCCTCGGTAGCAGCACAGGCACCTCAACCAGCAAATGAGAAAGTTCTATTGCGTCTGGGAAAAGACATTGTGCTGTGACGTGTTTTCTGCGGGCAAATGGATTATATGAAGTACTCAGAGGTCTAATCTACGGTACTCAGAGGTTTTTTGGGGGGTCTCACCGAAACGCTCCTGGAGGGGTCTGGAGTTGAACGCGTTTGGAGCGCGCTCGGCTTGGCGGAAGCCTCCCGTCCTCCTCGGTCCTGGGGTCCCGGGCGAAAGAAACGGCCCTGCCCAAATCCGAGGGGAGGCGACATCGTACGTTCGTACCGTCCTTGCTACTATATTTGTAAGGCCAGGAGCCCCGTTCGTAGCGTCCTTGCTCCGTTCGCAGCGATGCCAGGAGCCCCTAGTAGCGTCCTTGCTACTATAGTAGCAAGGCCAGGAGCCCCTAATACCGTCCTTGCTACTGGCCCTTGGTTACGTTCGTAGCTGCTTGTTCTTAAGTCTTAGTAGTCATGCCAGGAGCTGCGTTCGTAGCATCCTTGCTACTTGGGTTCCTTCGATTCCTTCGAAGCACCTGGCGGTTTTCCGAAGAAAACACGTCCAGCCGTCGTGGGATTCTGAGTGCCCATCAGCCGGACTCGGACTCGGAGATTCCATTCACTTGGCTCACTAGAAACACCACGTTCTGCACCGTTCTGACACGAGGTCCAACCGAGTCCAACCAAAAAAAGCACCAGAAATCCCAAAACACCGATCTACCAGGCGAACATGGCTTCCCAACCTCCCGACATGGATTCGCCTCATCTCTTATCGCAGCGGAGCCACCAAATCACCCATGGCTGGAGAGGTACGCGCAGAATCCGTAGACTTGATTTCTTCATCTTGAGGACAAGAAGCCTCCAATCATGCAGCATCTGTTTGCATCATCTTGATGATTCCCGAAGAGACTCCCGGCCCTCGAATGGAAAAGGATTTGGTTTGTTTTCGCGGTGGAGAAGGTCCGGCCCCTGCCATGCGCAGGGTCCCGGCCGGACGGTTCTTGTTCAATGCTTGGATCAGTTTTTGCAGGTTCTAAAGTTGACTGTACTCCTATTGTACTCCTTTATCATCCTTTATCAATAGAAGAATGTGGTAAACCCCCTAGAATTCCTAGCAGAACTCACATTCAGGTTTTGGGCTGCTGGTTGTGCAACGCATAACGGCGCTTCGGCTGAACTCGATCGCCGATCCGCTCGCGACTTGCCGATCCGACGCCCACGGGTCGGTGAATGGATCGATCTGTCTTGAATCCCTTGGGTTTTGCGTTAAAGGATCCAAAAGGCCAACGACCTCACATCAAAGTCTGTTGAAACACACTTGGGGGATGCCCAGTCCACCATCCAAGACACCATTCTGAGAGGCCAACGCTTTGCCATGCTCTGCCAACGCTGATCGATTGAAGCAACGTGTAGCGGACGGGCCAGGCAAACGGACGAGCTGTCCCACAGGGTGGGAGACTCAGGTGTGGATCTCATTTCAATTTTCAGAGACATTGATGCAGGCTCAAATTCCGAATTATTGGATTCCAAACGTCAGGAATATATATAGAAAGTTCTATCTCATTCCAAGAAAAGAAACCCCTCGAAAACTGACAACTACATGAACAACAGTTCTTTTTTTTCAGTTTATTTTCTTTCCGAGATCTCCGACGTCATCCGAAGAAAAGGATCCCAAGAACCAAAAGGACACGAAAAGAAAACACGATCGTTCTCCTCTTCGGTGTTTTCTTTTTGGGGGCGACACAGACCTCGGCCCGTGGTGCCAGCCGAACGGTGACTTCGGCCGAAGGCGACCGAAGAAAAACACCAGTTGCAAGTTGGTGAGTGCGACACGATCGGTGTGAGTGAAGAGATGAGAAAGGGAGATGAATTCAATTGGATTCACATTGGACGTGTCCCATTTGGTTAAACACATGGTAAAGACCTTTAATAACATCAAGGGGATTTGAAAAAACCAGACACTCCTCAACATTCTGAACATTCATGAGCCAAAAGGAATTTCCCCTCTTGGACCCGAAATCGGCCTGTTCCCTTCCCCTTCTCGGCCGCTGCGCTCCTTTTCTTGGCGATCACTCGCCGGATGCGTCGTCCCCCGCGGCATCGGCCCACCTGGGAGTGGAGCACCGGTGTGCACGGCGGTGAGCAGAACTGGAGCGGCGAGCAGAATTGGAGCGGTTGAAGAACTGTCGACCAGTTTTATTTCAACATGGTGCATCCTGGTGGACTTGCTGTGTCAAATCCTGAGTCAAATCAAATCCATGGTGGACTCGGTAGAGCCCACGGCTCGGCTCGGCTCATGGCGGGACGCAACTCCGCGAGGCTGCAGAGGCCGCCTTTCTCGGTGACGGGTGGAGGTTGGCACGGAAAATCCAGTCAACCTCAACAGATCAATATACATCATGACCATACAGATTCAAGTAGACTGCAGATCGAAGAGGATGGAAGAAAGACTCAGAATGACATGAGAATGAATAGCACCTGGAAAGAAAATGGCATGTGGGCTGTAGAGATTGCTGGTGGATATCTTTTGTTGCTACGTGAAAAGGGACGCTCCAGATCAAGAATCCTATTTTCAAAAAGAGACCGGAGGGTCAATGATTCGATTGCTTACAGTTAAACCGAAGGACACAGCCAACCCTACGGTTTAATGATAAGCAACGCGATGTATGGCTCTCAAAGCCCCGACCCAGGCACAGCGCGCCTTTTCCGCAGGACTTGAGCAAAAATGCAAGGTGATATCAAAATGACGTATGGCTACCACCAGGGAGGGTTGTTTCACATGTGTATTCTCAACTCCCCCCTCAAGCTGTACATGGTGGATGCCCCTGCCAGAAATGTGCTTCAAGCACATTTGATTTCTGGTGTACATGCAAGAACTGCACACACACAATTCCAAGTCAGTTGCAGACCGTGACTTATGGTGCACAGATGCATAGCTGACTGATGGCTTCAGGCCAAAGCATTGGCGGCATCACTTTAGTCAAAGAATTTGCACGCTGAGATTCCGAGGTGCAGTAACTAATGTTAAAGACTCCTAGTTCAAGCAGTTCGTGAACGGATCCAAGATTCACTCTGTGAACTCGGTTTGCTCCAAGAAGTTTGGCACTATAGCCAGCTTTGACAACCGTGATTGTCGCTTGGTTGTCCTGCTCAAAAAGAATATCAACTTTTGACTCTATGGTATGCAAATGCAGTGTCTCTCCAAAGAGTGCGCCTGCAAAGGCCATGAGTTCAGCTTCAGTGGTGCTTCTTGCAGTTGGCCAGCAAGCTTGCCTCCGGCCACGCTTGCCCCATATGTCTTCGAAAAGCTGCCTCGCGCTATCCCAAATTGAGCTTGTCCAAACCTCCATGGGGTCAAGTCCTCCACCACGGTCAGCACCAACTCGAGGAGCACCAGGATGTTTCAGCTCATCGGGACTTGAGTTTCCCAGGGCCGCTGGCTTGTGAAACTGCAAGCGGCTTGCCTTTGTCGACCTCTCCAGCACGTCGATCGAGGCCATCTTTCCTAGCTGAGCTGTTTTGGAGTGCACCACTGTGAGGTGGCCCCACCTCCCTCCCTCCTGTCGAGGGAGGCTGCAGGAGTCTGCCAACCGCAAACTACAGACAGTCCAACATACCACTCTTGAAAGGCCGCACTGCTGGCGATGAACTGCCCTTTCGTTTGGCGCGTTAGAGCTTCTTTAACAGCAGTGGTTTTCCATAGGCCACATTCAGGAGCATCCTTTCATGTTCGGCCGCTGCTCATATTTGCAGTTGATCTGCAGTTGATTTGCAGTTGATCACAGTTCGCTTGGTTGCATTGCTCATGCCTCTCAAAGTGACATACAAACGTGAGCATAGAATGAACATCCTTGATGGCCTGTAAAGGCTTCAAAACTCAGTGCCCTTGATGCTGCGAGAAATGAGTTAGCACCGCACTTCAGATTGCTCATTGAGGCGTTTTGCAAGAATTCACTGCCCAATAGATGTTTCACCCAGGTTTCACTCTTGGTTCACTCCTGCATGATGACTGGATAGCATGCTTCACCAGCGTGCCAGTGTGGATTACATAAACAATGCCTGATGTGCTCTTTGCGGTGCAAGGACATGACGAAAAGTCTGAGTCAGTATATATATATACACATGTAATGAAGGACGGTAGACGTTGTGTGGCATCAACAGTTAGTTTCATCACATGATCGCAAGTTGAATGCAAATAGCTGACAAGACGATATGTTATGTTTGCCTATCCTCCCACCGTGTCCAACGAGTGACACGACTTGAAAGACGTTGCGCGGCAAATGCAATGTCAGGCCTGGCGAGGCGACTCAACCAAAGACATCTCATCAGTATTCTTGAGGCGAATGCTGAAAGTTCACCAACCTGACCCAACTCTTCATTGGTCATGTTGGATTCTGGAATGCGGGGTGTTGACACGCGACGAAACTTGTCCTTTGAAACACCTGTCATCTCACAGAAGAACTCTACGATACCTTTGTTGTACGCTGTCATATCATATGTTAGAGTATTCACATTTGAAGTTCTTTCGATCTTATGAATCCGTCCAAGAATTTTGGTTCCTTTCTCATCAATGAATTCGGGTGGATCGATTTTGATTCTGGTTTTCAATGCTGCTAAGGTAAGATCGTCCACATATATGTTCAGGATGAGGGTGAATTCCTGATTTGGTCCACGTCGAAATACAAAGTTGGATGGAAACTCTTCGATGGGCACGCCATTCATGGCAACCAGCTGTCGCTCCAAGTGGGCCTGCCATAGGTTAGCACTTTGAGGGTGACCGTACAGTGATTCTACCAATTTTACTGCTAGTTTCGCCGTAGGTTCATACTTTGTTTCCACTCGGGTAACCAGAGTTCGAAAGGCAGTATCACCCAGGTATTTTCGTCCAAAGTCATGTTCAATGCAGCCATTGCCGTCGGCGTTGTTGCTGCTTCATTTTAAGTGAAGAAAACATGGTCTCCATTTTGGTTGCGGATCGGGTCACCTCTATAGACTATGCGGCCCTTGTGTCGATGATATTCCTGGTCCATCTCGAAATGTTTTATCCCTGCCAAAATGAGAACCTCAGCAAAATTTATTTCCTCACCACGCTCCTTTGCTTGTCGTTTGAGCGTGTTGACTATGATGACAGAGTCATCATCCCATGTTCCAGTAGCGCGAAGACCGGACGCTTCGTCTTCAATGGCTTTGATGGCTTTGTCATCATTCTTCCATTCGGCTTTTGAGATGTTTTTGGTCACAAATGCTGGTTGTGAACACACAAATTTGGGATGTTCTCATACCATTGCTTGGGGGACCATGCCTCTAGAATGGTGTTAGCAAATTCTGGGGTATAGAATGCGGACTGGGCAGCATTCTTTCCGAGCGATTCTTCATGTTCATGTGTCTTGTCACACTGGCATTGTGACAGGAACTGGATGAGGCGCAAATCGCTAGTTGTTACACACCATGGCTTCTTGAGGCACTTAACATGCTTACCTTTTAGATTTAGCGCGCATCCGTGAAAATAGATTCGCTTCATTCCTGCTCTCTCCTCCTGATTTCCTGCAGGCAGCTCGAATGCGATACGTCCACCTAGTTCAAGGGTTCTCTCAAGATATTGTGCGGCATATTGCAACAAAACTTCAGGTTCTGCTTTTCTCTTTCTAGTTTCTTGGCATATGGTTTCCCATGCGCATGCAGGTTGAGGTTTTGAATTTGCGAGTGATGTGTGCACGTCACGGATGCCCATGCATCAGCTCCTGGCATTGTCTCAAGCTGGCCTAAGGCTTGTTGGACATGGTCAGGGTTACACAAATCCAATGTTGATCTAGACAAGCGAACACAATTGACCCCAACAGCTTTAATTTAGCATGTTGACCAATGACTGAATCATCCGAACAAGCGAACTCGATAATGGTAGCGTGACCTTTCAGAGTGTTTAAACGTCTAGACTTAGATCCTTGACTACTTGTGCTTGGACAGAAGAGTCATCGATGGTTGATGCAACTTTGTTGATCATCGCCGATTCTGGATCACCCGGTGGAATGCCAGCACTAAATGGCAAGTCATGAGGGTGAACTTCAGCAACAGGTTCTTCGAGAACAGCTTCAGCTGGCACATCCTCGATCGGTGCACCACCGTCTGCTGGAGGCAATGGTGATTCGTCTGCTTTGGCGGCCTTTTCGGCTTTTACCAACATGTCGAACCTTGCCTTGCATCTGCTGTTGTGTCACCCTTTCATTCTGTCAAGGGTGATATACTCATGACGAACAGCAGGAATGGCATCTGACGGGAGACTTGAGAAGTGCTGGTTCGCTGAAGTCTGCCAGTGCGGTTTCTGCTGCAGTGTGCAGTGGGAGGATTTGGTCACCTGGCGGCACATAAATCTCCTCAATTGGCACTGACAACAGTAAAGAATACCCTGATGCTTGAGCTTTGACCGACGCATAGTTCGATGGTCAGGTAAACACCCGTGTGCGATTTTGGTCCACTATCATATCGCCAACCAATGAATAAAGCCGGGACGGCATTCGCATCAAATTTATGCCGATTGAGGGGATCCTTCCGAACAAAGGCGAGCTGACCCAAAAGCAACTCCCTTCCTACAAACTCCTTTCCACTAGCAAGTGCATGACGGTTGCGAGGGTTCCCATCGCTGTCTTTGACAGGATGGTAGGCATTTATCACAGTTGCTGCATACTGACACATGCTGCCACGGGTCCGTCAAGAGATGGAACCCGGCGCCGAGGTGCGCAGCTCTTGCCACTTCCTACCATGTCCTGATTTCACGTTCGATGACACTGTTGTGAGGCCACCTTCTCGAAAGAGATGGCTCACGCACAAAACCTAGAGTCGTACATGCTGACATAAATTCAGGGGCATTGTCCGACTTGCGCATTATGGTCGGGCGCGCGTGCTACGAGGGCACAAGAAAAGACAACATGGACTTGACGATGGTTTCGGAAGATTTTTTGGCACATGGATATGCAGCAATGTACCCAGAATAATCATCCCTGAGAACCAACACACCTGATTCCTTACCACCCTTATAGGATTTACTTACGATGATGAAGTCTGCTGCCAACCTTTGTCCAAACTCTGTGACTTCTTCCAGCTCCCCTCTGGCTTCAAGAGGCTCATGACGAGTGACCCATGACACATTCTATGTTGGATAGACCGCGCCTCGGCTTGAAGCCGTTGTGCACTGGCGCTTCCTCTGGTGCCTCGACACGGTCCGCTCCTTCAGCCGGCAATGCAAAAGTGACATTCCCTTGGAACTCTTCACTAGAGATTGGGACATGGTCTTCTACACGGGATGCAGTGTGAACCTTTGTTGAATCAAAAGACAGCT